CAGCCCTCCCCCAACCTTGGGCTTTGCATCATTCCCCCTCATGCTCATCAATCTTCCCACCATTCCAACAACGTTCGTGCACCGTTAAGAGAGGGAACTCCTCGCTGGCACTTCACATCTGTTGACTGGGGGATTAACGGGAGGTGGAGGGGGGGGATGGGAAGGGGGAGTAAGGGGGTTAAAGAGAGTGATGGTGTAGATGTTTGGTCTTGTGTTAGTTTGAGATACCTATGAATGAGATGTTAGTGAGATTTGTAGACGTAGATATTGCGCAGCAGGTTGTGGGCACGGAAGTGAAACTGCTATGTGGAATAGATGCCTGAAGTGTAGTTAAGAGGCCTTTCAATATGTTAATATGGCCTTTTAACGTGATTGATATGCCTTTCAACATGATCAACACGCCTTCCGATATAAATAAGTGATAGACCTTTAAAAATCATCAAGAGGCCTCTGGACATGATTGATAGGCTTCAAAAGATAGTTAATAGGCCATTCAAAATAATCAATAGGCTTTACAACATAACTGACAGGTGTTTTAGGACAATTAGGAGGCATGTTTATGAGATCTTGAGGTCTTCAGATTAGGTCAAGGTCTCTTTTATTTAGTCCTCTACACGATATGTAATTGTAGACGTAATTCATCATGCCCTGTGAGTTTAGAAACTTCCAGGCATATCTATCCACACCAGCCAAAATTATACCCCTGAATAACCCCTTAGTACTTTGGATGTGCAGCTGGCACACGAGACCAGTATCTTTTCTTTTTCAGGAATCAGTTCTCACAAATTGTTGCTGTTTGCAGGTGAGAGACAACAAGATGCTATCCACACTGCCACATGCTCATCGTTCTTTCAACCGTAATTAAACATGGAGTACTCGAACCACATTCCAATTCCACCACCTCAAAGGGAATCATCCGATGGCAATTTCCATTCACTCTTCCACAATAGCAATTTATGGACTTGAGATATTGCCCAAATGTGAATGACAATAACACCTTAACAGGTAGGTGATTGACAGTGCCTGAATGCCAACAAACACAGGGCCAGACATTCACTGGTGGGCCGTGCGTTGCCGCTAACAGCCGCTACTGCTACCTGTGTGAGAACCAACGCACAGCCAGCGAGAAACACAGCGCAACCCAAGCCGCAGGCGTCACCACTCGGGCTCTTATTTTCCGCTGCTTGAGTAGTCAGCCTCATCTGGACACCCCTCAACCTGGCAACGACAGGAAGAGAGAAATTGCCAACTGAATCGCGACATCGGAGGTGTGGTTGGTTTCTGGATCGACAAGATATCAGAAACACCGTCGTATCAATTCCTCGGCTTGCTCAGGTACCATCCGCCATCCCCTCCAGGTCAGCATATCCAGCTCGCCTTGCCTGCAGCAGCCAGCCCAACCGCCAACGCAGACCCCCGCCAGATCCAGTTTCGGCACCGTGCACCTGCCAGGTCCTATTTTCTTCTGCTGGCGACCATTCTTCCAAAATTTGATCTCGTTCGGCCGACTTTTGGTTCAGCTTGAGCATATCCCCCCCTCTTCTACTTCCTACACCGTCTCTCTCTCTCTCACTGCGACCCGCTTCGATTAGTCGTCGACAGAGCCACTCTTTCTCGGCGACCGACTACTACAGACAACAAAACAGATCCAGCCTACCCCTCGATCGACGACCGACCGACCGCTTCCCCTTACCCCTCGCTACGCCCAGACTGTACGATAGCGTCACCGCTTTCACACGGGCAAGCACACAAATTAGAGGAAATCATAGACAGGACAAAACCAATTTAGCAAGAGTTGGACCATAGAATACCAGGGCGACTCTCTCCCGACCATTCCGACCACCAGATCGTGTGCGGGGTTCATAGCCAATACCTACCTACCTACTACCAAAGTAACCAGCTCCGGATTTCGGGGCCTCATTCGTCTTCTTCTACAAGAGTCGCCACCTTTACCGCCGCAAACATGCCCTGCTACAAGGGCATCGCGGTGAGCATCCATGCAAATGGTGCCCCGGTGCCCGAATACGGCATCCAAAAACAGTCTCGGCTGTCACGTATCAACACTTACATCCCGGTCCCGCAGCCCCAGGTCAACCCAGAGAATAACAAGCCTGAGCCGGCCAAGTTCGCCATTTCCATTACCCTCCTGACCCCCGGCCTCGCGATACCCTACTCTGCCCCCAAAGCCACCGAAAGTAACCCGTACCCGAAGCCGCAATATGTCGGCGCTCTCCCCTCGAGCACTGGGGAGCGGGGCAAGTTCCACGGCATCGTGGCTCCGTACATTCCTATGACTCAGAGCGAGAATGAGACAATTGCCGCCTATATATACTTTGATGGTCGTGCCAAGGAGGAGGTCGCTACGCTTCTTCGCCCCGGTGAGGAAACGTGGGTGAACAGCAGATGGGTCCAAGTTCCTGAGTCGGAAGGCGGCGGGCTGGCTGAACGGGAGTTTTTGTTCCGCGAGGTTGGCCTTGAGCGCTGGCTGAATGGTCTTGATCTTCAGGGACATGATGCTGCCGAGAAGCTGGAGCGCAGAAGGCAGAAGTTTGAGAAGCGCAGAAGACGCCAAAAGAAGCTCGAGGAGGAGGCGGGTTCTTCCCACCATGGGTCTCGTGGTGCTGCCCTTAGGTATGGCGCTGATGACAAGGCCCCGCTGGAGGCTGTCGACGACTCTCTTTCGTCTAGTGATTCGGATGATGAGCCGCCCGAGGCTACTGGCCAGATCAAGGTGGCCATGTTTAGGGTGATTGCGTCGGGCGAGATCAAGAAGGGGGAGTATTCTCCTCAGTTTGATGCTCACGACGACTCGGAAGAGGAGGGCAAGGGGAACAACAATGGGGTCGATGCCGATGTTGAGCACACGACTAGTTTCGCGAAGCCCAAGACACTTGATCCGAAGACTATTAGTACTCAGACCGTGACCGGTATCGACGGGCCGGATAAGCCTTTTGCGGTCTTCACTTTCTTTTACAGAGGCGAACGTGAGTATTTGGCTGTTCTGACTTGTATGGTCGTGGCGCTGACGCTGAAACAGGTCAACTACAAAAGATGGGAGTCCTCGCCCCTCCAAAGCCCCAAGTCACTTCGCCCAACCTCAAGAGACGCTCTGGCCAGCTCGATTTCTCTGGCCTTGGGCCCTTGAAGACAAGCGGCACTGTGGGCTTTTCCGCGTTCCGGGACAGGGACTCTCAACCAGCAAGACGGAAGAAGTCGAGGACGAAGAGCAACGGGGGTATGAGCATAGATGCCGACAGCGATGACGATGACGACGACGAGGACTTGAGCGAGCAGATCCTGGGCAAGATGGAGGATGTTGACACCAAGTATGACAAGTCAAAGTTGGGCCCGGAGGACGCCAAGTTTACGGGCGAGCTGGCGGATGGTGTAAACAGGATCAGGGTATGTTTTTCCCACTCTGTTGCATTTTCCTTTCTTGAACTATACTGACTTATTCTCCGCAAAATAGCTCAAGAGAGCCCACTCGGCCGAACCAGACGCCGCCCCAAGCCCCAGCAAATCACCCAACACGGGAGCCGCAACCCCTCCGGACGGAACTGGCGTTGGTTCTGCTGCCGCTGGTAGCATGCCTACGGGGTTGGCGGCCATGTTTGGGAAGAGTCTGCCGGATGACACGAATATTATTGGGAGCCCGATGAAGAAGGCGAGGCCTAGTCTGGGGGATATTGGGGAGTTAAAAGGGGGGCTGGGGGGGAGTGGAAGCCCAGGGACGACAAGCGGAGCAGGGTTCACATCTGCGCTCGGTGATATACTCGCCAAGGCTGAGGCTGCTCAGGCAAGCAAGGGTCAAACGGGGGTTGCGGCGGGGCAGGTAGCGCAGCCGCCGCCTATGTTGATGGAGGAGGAGGAGGAGCTTTGAGTGGATATGAGCGTTTGTGGTTGTAAGCGAGTGTGTGTACGTTCTGTCTGCGTGGGGGGTGGGGGGGGGGGGACAAACTAGGAAAGGAAAAACAAGATATAAAAGAAGACGACCCAGCGAATCTCAGTTTGTTCTTGAGAGCATATATTACGACAGTTGGGTGTGTGTGATGAAGTGGAAGGAAATTGAAAATACATGAGGGGGGGTGGGGGTTGAGGTTATATCGCAAACTGATTAGGAGATATTATCTTGAGATAAGAATAAGCTGATATTGCCAGGACAGGAGTTTGGGAGGAGTTGGGAGGGTTGCTATGCTATGCTGGGAAATTGCTTTGATGGTGGTGGTGGTTGGTTGGTCGAGGTGTGTATGTTTTGGGGGGGAAGGCATAGCGGTTTTTTCTTTTCTTGCGGTTTGGGGATTTGGGAAGGGGTTGGGCTGATAAATGGGAGGGAATTGGGTTTATGTAGAGTAGTTTGTTGTGTGTGTAAAAGAGAATGTCAAGGGGGGGTTGAATGTCATTGGTGATGTAGCTACTCGTGATGTGTGGAAGATATGCTGGCTCTCATGACTAGAAACTTTGGTTAATTTGGAACTCGACACCATCTTATAAGCACAGAGGCTTGCTATCCGGGAGAGGTGTTTCAACCTCTTGTATCGAGAAAGGTTGAGGACCGGAGACTAGGAAGGGAAGGAAGCGAGTGAGATTCCTGAAGCATGATCAAGAGTGCCGTAATCAGTTTTACGAGGGCCTTGATGGGTGCTTGAGCTTGACCAGGCCGATGTACCATGGGCCTGAACACCTCATCCAGGACGATTCCAAAATCAGCAATACAGGTATGGCTTTGGCCGTTGGGCTGCACAAGAGAACAATATCACGGCCAGGCAAAGCGAACAAGACATGGAAGTGTGGAAAGATTTGGTTTATTATTATCCATGGTGTAGCACATGAGCGGGAGAGCATCGAACTTGCCCAACACCCACACGCCAATCCAGCCCACCATCAGCCAGTGAAAAATTCCAACCCGCAGCGATGAAGCCCAAGAAAACAAGCATATGGACACCCCCTTCCGCCTTGAAAAACCAAGGCTGACTTGAATGTCCACCCCACGCGAGTGAAGGGTTTCACAAGCTGATGAATGGGCCGGCCCAACGCGGCGGTTGGTTGTTGGGCTGGTTCGATTGCCTCTTTCCTCCAAAACCCAACTCCTGCCTTGCTCAAAGTCCCAATCCAGACCGGCGGTGTCAAGATGCCGAAGTATATGCGATCTAATTATCCAATTGTTAGCGCTCCTGTTTTTAATGTGAAAACAGTGAAGTGTGTAGTGTGTGTTGGGTATAATGTCAGACTGTTGAGTTTGATGATTTTTTTAATCAACATGATTTATTCTGTTGGCCGTTCTTAAGAGCAGTTTTTGTCATCATGGTAAATGGTGTTTGTTTGTTGCAAAGGCAAAGGAAACAGGGTGCTGTCTTACCATTCAAGATGCGGGTGCGTGAAAAGAAAGGAAAGAGAGAGGAAGAAAGTGTCTCCAAAAAAATTGGAGTTGAAATTTATATCCAATGGAAAAGTGCGGACTGGGGGGACCGGGGAGGAGGGGTGACCAAGCTTAATCCTCTTTTTTTTTTCGGTCGGTGCCTGATCGATAAGGCTGTCAGATTCACTTTGTGAGTGACACAGGAAACCCCACTTTTGAACTTGGGCTGCGGCGGGCGGTGGGACTGGGCTCCTGCTGGCCGGGTGCCTGGTTCGAAAGTGATCTTCTGATATCTCCTCCCTCCTCCGTGAGGAACTTGCCGCCCTTTTTTTCTTTTACTCGCCAACTACATTATCACAAAAAATCCCAAGGTTGAAGTCTGCTGCGAAGCAATCTAATACCGTCAAGATGGCTTGTAAGTTTTATACCGACTTCCCCTCTGGAAATATGACAAGGCTGTGTTGTGCGCGCGCGCAAAAGGAGAGCTGGAGGAGGGGTTGGGAAATCGAAGATGTCCGGGTTACCCCGCCATCGCGCTATCGAGGAGGAGAGGGCGGATGTGTTTGCGATGCCCTCCTCTTTGCGCGCGCAAACTTGTTTACGGGTTTAAATGAAGCAAAAGCTAACCAAATGGTAAACAGTCGATTTCCAGGGAATTGCTAGTGAGTTTCCACCACCACCAGAGCTCCAATGAAGCCGGTTACATACGATCGCGAGAAGAGAAGCTAACGCGCGCTGTTTTTGTGTTCCCCCCGCAACAGCGCAGTTCGTCACCCACTACTACACCACCTTTGATACCGACCGCAAGGCCCTGGCTGGTCTCTACGTATGTTCTCGATCGAGCGAGCTGTTGGGGAATTGGTGACTAATGGAGTAAACAGAGAGAGAACTCCATGTTGACCTTTGAGTCTACGCAAGCCCTCGGTACCGCCAACATTGCTGAGAAGCTCACCGTAAGAGATGCTCTGATTACGCGACACGATGAGGACGGTCGTTGACTCGATTTGTTACAGAACCTCCCATTCCAGAAGGTTAAGCACCACTTCGACACTGCTGATGCCCAGCCCACCGCCACTGGTGGTATTGTGATCTTGGTCACCGGCCAGCTCTTGGTATGCTTCAAACATGATATGTAGAAGCGAGGCTGAATACTGATACGAATTTCTCACACAGGTTGACGAGGAGGCCAACCCTCTCAAGTTCTCCCAGGCTTTCCAGCTCGTTCAGGATCCTCAGGGCCAGTGGTTCGTTTTCAACGATATCTTCAAGCTCGTTTTCGGTTAAGCGGTTGCGACGAGTATGATGGAGCGATATTTACACCACTTAGACGGAGCCGTGAGCATATCATAGCCAAATACACCAAAAACACGTGAAGATACCAGAAAAGGAAGCGGCGGCATCTGAACGTTTGCTGTGGGCGGCGTCTGGAGATGGACTGACGGGAAAGAGGGAGGGGACTTTGATTTTTTCGCCAGCATTAAGCAGCAGTAGCTACACCTTGGGGTTAATTAAACCTTTTAAACGTCAAGAGGTGAATTCGCATTGATGGAGCTATGCCGCGCAACCTCTTGAACCTCATGGCCAGGTAGGTACGTCAGCAGGGGACCTCGGAAATCGGGTGCCTGTTTGGCGGCCACTTATTAAAAGCTGGCCATTTGGTCTGGTCTGCGAAAAGGATGTTGTCAGTTGGCTCGCTGTCAGGGCCAGCATTCCTCACAGAGAACACTGTGGAATAAATACCAACACCCAAACCAAACAGCACACCACTATTTCATCAATACCTCTGAAGAATAGAAACTCCCTCCGTCTCCGTTCACAACAGAAAAAGAAGAAGCGGCAGCATTGCACCGATCCCTGTCAGGCCTGCTGTCACCAGTGTTACAGCCACAGATTATCCAATCAGCGCTTGCGGAACCTCACCATTAGCCCCACTTTGGACCTCTTCTTGCGTACCGGGAATCCGAAAAGACCAACGGTGTGTGTGTGTGTCAGTGCTTTCGCTTCAGAAAGTGTGAAGGTGTTTGTTACGTACGACAATAGCTCTCTCTCTCTCTCTTTCAGGCTCTACTACCTACCTACCATTAGAACACTGGCTCACTCCCTCTGCTAGACAGACAAAGGAGAGCAGTTTCCCCCCCCCCTCAACGACCGAACAAACGCGATCAACGAAGCCACGTTTTAATTATCCCATCGATCTTTCTTCTGGATTGAGGCGCAATCGAACGAGTCGTCAATTGTTGCCGTCGCCCGTCGCAACACGAAGCCACTACCACCGCCAGCAACGACGAAGGGCATAGATACGTTCTCAGGAGGGATAATCAACTGCACGATTTGTATCGACAGGAAAAGGGATAGGCGCATTAAAAAGACAGGACAAGAATAGTTCGTGAATAGCTACTGCAACTACCCGCCAAAGCAAGCAAGCTACCGAGCTTCGAACCGCGAAGAAGCACCACTATCCACCACCACAATCCTCAACATCACCACCCGGTGATCCAACAGCCGTCAGAATGACCCTAAAAGAAGAATTCCAAACCCGCAACTTCAGTCCGTCCCTTTCCCCTCCCCCTTATCCCCCCTTTCCCCAATTTACTGACCCTCCCCCCCGTGTAGGCATCTACGGCCAATGGCTAGGAATCCTCTCCATGATCCTCTGCTTCGCCCTCGGCCTCTCCAACATGATCTCCTCCATCTTCTCCCTCAACATCGTCATCATCGCCTTCTCCATCCTCGCCATGGTTTTCTCCTTTGTTATCCTCTTCGTCGAAGTCCCCCTCCTCCTCCGCATCTGTCCTACTTCCTCCTCCTTTGACGCGGCAATCCGCAAGATCTCGACAAACTACATGCGTGCGGGCGCGTACGGGGTTATGGCGCTGGTGATCTGGCTGAGTTGCATCAGCACCCGGACGAGCTTGATCGCTGCGGCGGTGTTCTTGACCTTGACGGGGGCGTGTTATGGGTTGGCGGGGGCGAAGGGGCAGGCTTTTGTTGGGAGTAAGACGCTTGGCGGGCAGGGGGTGGCGCAGATGATTGTGTGAGGTTGTTGAAGGATGATGGGGGAGGGGAAGAAGCTGGCTGGGCCGGAAAGTTCAATATGATTACTAAAGGGGAGTTGGATGGGAAGAGGGGACGGGGATGGTAAAGTGATGTTGATGAAGGAGCCGCTCCTTGTCTTTTATTGTTATTGCTACTACTATCGAGATGCTTAGTTGTGAGGGAAGAAGACGAAGAAGAAGCAGAGACAGAACCTCAAATATGGATTACTTTTTCGCTTTAGGCAAGGAAAAAAAGAAAGAGGGAACCAACGAATATTGGTGTTTTTGGCGCCGGCTTTTTGTTTTTGTGTTTTTGTTTTCTGTTTTGAGTTGAGTTGTTTTTTGTACGGTTAGGGTAATACCTTCGCTTTTTTGTTTAGGGTAATGGGGAAGCATTTTTTCCTATTACCTTCTGCCAGGTACTGTGTTTGAAGATGTGATATTTCAGCTGGATCTGTTCAACGAGTCTATCAGAGTTCAATGCCCACCCAATAATATCTAGCAAGGGACTTACCAATCCAGCCAGTTTTCAGGCGTATATATTGATCTATCTGTGTCTGGGAATCGTTTGGTCACGGCTTACATAGTGAGTATATCTATCTATCTTGGCAGATTTCATAACCTATCCCTCAACCCCGCAAAGCATAAACGATGGGGGGAGAAAAGAAAAGCAATAAAAAGAAAAAAATAAAAATTGAATTTCCCACACCGGGAATTGAACCCGGGACTTCAGGGAGTATCAGATCCTGAGATAATCTCAAGGATGACTGAAAGCCTGATATGCTGACCACTACACCATATGGGACTCTGCGGCCTTCTTCTTGGTTTTGGGATGGAAGGAGGCGAGGAGGATTGGATTATATGGGGGTTGTTGAGGGAGGGAGGGAAGGAAGAGAAGGCTGGCTGCTTGGGTGGTGGGGAAAAGGAAGGGAAGGAAGGAACGGGGGTTCTTCCCTGAGTAAGGGGTGTTGGGAGCCATTACCGGCGAGTTTGGGCCATTTGGGAAGGGAAAAGACTGCTAAAGAAATCTGCGAAATGGCAAAACGATCACAGGTGTGAGGGAAGACGGTACGGTGGGTAGCTCGATGTTGCTTTGAGATGGAGAGTGGGTTCATCAGTGGCAATGTTGAAGGCCAGGGGTGAAAGAGATTCAGACGTATCTACCTTACTGTGTGGGCAATGCATATACTTTTCAGCAATAGCAACGTTTTAATACCGGGCGCAGCAAGCAAGGCTTGTTCCAAGATTCAAGACCAAATCTCATCGATCCAAATACTCCTTCGACATTTCATGGCTAGCCTAACAGCTTATCCAGTCCCATCCCACACCCCCAGCCCCATCCCACACCCCCAGCCCCATCATAAGCAACTCACACATCACACATATAACACGCAGAACAAACAAGAGTTGATGTCTCACAAAAGAACGAATAATCTTCATTATATCAACTTTTATACCACCCCCCCACACAAATCAGCGACCGAAGCCTTTCTTTTCTCTCAAAATCCCCTCCCCATAACAACCAAATACCACTCGACGCTAAAGCTTAGAGTAAAACAACAAAACAAAAGCAATCAAAGGAGTGGATTTCAACAGCTTTCAAAAATCACAAAGTCATCACAAATTATCTGCCAGAAGAAATCACTTCTCCTCAGCAGTAGCAGACTCAACCGTCTTCTTCTCCTCATCCTGCTCCACCTTCTCCTGGACAATCGTCTCCCCAGCCATGTTGGTGACCAGAGACTTGACCGTCTCGATGATGCCCGGTTTCGAGGCGGGTTCTTCTTCCTTTTCAGGCTCCGCCTGGGGTTTTGGTTTCTCCTCCAGTTCTTCCTTGGATTCTTCAACCTTGGGCTCCTCCTTGGGCTCCTCAGCCTTAGGTTCCTCGGCCTTGGTCTCCTCAACCTTGGCTTCTGGCACCAGTTCTGACTCCTTCTTCTCCTCTACAACAGGAGTCTCCTCCCTCTTCTCCTCAACAAGAACCTGCTCCTCCACCGTCTTCTCAACCGGCGACTCAGGCTCTCCAAGACTGGGATGCCCACCACCAACACTGAGCTCACCCTCTTCAGGATCAATCTCAAAGAAAGTAAACGCCGATGACACACCAAAGATGACAGTAGGTTTAGGCGCTTCCTTGGGAGGCTCCTGCTTGGCACTGGGTGCCCGTCTCTGCGGACCCCTAGCCCTCCCCTTTCTCGCATCAACAAGCGGCGCCTTCTCCTTCTTCTCTTCCTCCTCCTTCTCCTCCGCCGGCTCCTCCTTCTTCACCGGCGCCTGAGGGCCGAGCTGCAGACGTCTATTAAGATCATTCATAAACCCGGCCTGCAACGCCGCGATCTTGCCACCAACTGGTCTAGCCGGGACAGCAGGCTTTTGCTTTGGGGGCGCAGCCGCCTCAGCAGGTTCTAGCCCGCCAGAGGTAGGGCCCGCCTTGACGGGGCGGACAGGAATCGCGGGTTTGGGACGCTCGGGGATAGCGGGCTTGTTGTCGTCACCGGAGACCTTGGGCTTGGGACGAGCGGGGATCTCGGGCTTCTTGGCGGCAGTGGTAGGAGAAGAGGTTTCAACTGGCGAAGGAACAGAGTCGTCTTGCTGGGGAGTGGAGACGGTGGTCTCGAGCTGGAGGGACTCTGGGCTATCCTCCCAAACGTCCCGACTAGGGAAGCGGTTGTGCATACCGGGACGGCCCGCAGCCTTGGTTTCGCTGGCAAGATGGGGCTGGTGCTTGACCCAGAGCGGCTTCGCGCTCCGGCCGGGGATGAAGCCATCGGCTCCACGTTCCCTGACCTCCTTCTCGGCCAGTTCCTCCTGGTGGCGGGCAAATGCCTGAGCGGGAGTCTCTCCATCTCTGGTGGGAGGAACAATGCTGGCGGCATTTTCTGACTTGTCTTCGCCTTCAAAGAGATCCGGAGTAGACACCTCAGCCGTGTAGTAGACGGAGCTGGGTGCGTCCTCCCAGATATCCGCGCTAGGGAAACGCTGCTTCTTGACGCTCTTGGGCTTCTCCTTGACGGGCTCCTTCTTGACAACCTTGTCATCGTCCTCAAAAAGGGGCTCGTACTCCTCAACATCCTCAAGGGGAGTGGAGCGGTGCTCAAAGGAATGCTCCTTGTAGATGCTGGCAGGCCTGCTGGTGGGGCGGCTAGTAGGCTGATCTTCGTTGGGAAGCTCAACAGCAGGCTGGTGAACATAGGGTGACGGGTCCTTGGCAACCTCGTCCTCGGCCAGGATGGGCGCGTCGTAAGCCTCCTCCTCAACGGCGGGCGACTCGTTGTCGCTGAACATCACAGACCTCCGGCGGTTGGGCTCCTCGACGTGAATGACGTCACTGATGGAAGAAGGGCGACGGGCTTCCTTGTCCTTGTCTGAGTCGGAGATCACTGAAGAGGGCTTCTTGGGAGAAGCAGGACCAGGCGAGGCGACACGGGAGGTCGACTCTTCCAGGGCTTGCCAGGCGACCTGATCGGTGGGGGTGCCAGAGTAGTTCTTGACGCCAAGACCAGAACCACGAGTGATGGTCTCACGGACGATCTTGTTCAGCTCCTCACTGCTCATGGAAAAGTCCTTGACACGATCATAGTGGTGGAGTACATGCTCCTTCTTGAGAAGCTCGGGGTGCTTCTCGAAGTAGGCCTTGTCGAGCTTGTCCTGGGGACCAACACCATGGCCGTGCAAGCCGTAGCTACCAGGAGGCAGGTTGCCACGACTGGACGACCGACGACTGTGGTGCTTCTTCTCGACGGTGGAAGGAGCAGGTGAAGGAGCCTGCACATCACCGGCATGCTTGAGCATGGGAACCTGGATACCAATCTCGGGAATGCCATGCTCGTCATCGATATCACTCTTGGCGGACAGCTGACTGGTTGTGCTGGCCTTCTTCTTGAGGCTGCGGTTCGAGGGCAAGGCGCCGGCGGAATCGTCGTTGCTGCTGGGTCTGCCAATGCCAAAGGCGGCAGCACGGTCGCTGTCGGTACGGGTAACCGCCATCACGCGCTGCTTGGCGCTGGCGGCAGGCAGAGATGGCTTGGGCGCATGAAGCTTGACATCCTCGCCGACGGTGCGGGTGTGCTCGGGACTGGTGCTCTCCTCATTGGAAGGGCTCGATTCTTGGGCCAGGTTGGCATACTCGGCACCCTCTTCGCCGAGAGAGGGGAGGTCGACGGAGGTGGAACGGGGAATGGGATCGCCATAGGTGCGGCCGCCAGGATGGAGGGACTTGGACTTGACGAGGGGGCTCTCGTTGAGCGGCGAGGGAGCAAATCGGTCCGGGTTGGGACTTATTGAGCGCTGGAAGCGCCGGTTGGCAGGGCGTGGAGGGACCATTGGAAGGGGTGCTCTCTCTTGACTCCTCGAGGGTCTCGGGGGTATGACAGGAGGTTGCTGAGCCGTTGTAGCGGACATGGTGGGCAAGCTCGGCGGAGGTCGGGCTGGTAGATATGTTATGCGGTGGTGGTGTCAAGGGAGCTGTCGTTGGTGGCTCGGTTGCGATAGCGGAAAGAGGGAGAACGAGCAGGTAAGACGGAGAGGATGGGTAGGATCGGGTTCGTGCGGAGTGCGGTACCACGAAGACAGTCCTGTGTGTGATGTCTGGGGAAGTACACTAGGGTAGCTCGTCTGGAATAACGGCAGAGACTAGGTTAGCACATGCAGCAGGAGGATCGGTGAATGTGTAGAGAGAAGGCTTGGAGCTGATGCGAGATAAGCGCGCCCAACGGTTGAAGCTCTCGACAATCCGACCCAAGATGTTCGACCGCCCCCCAGACAGACGTGATAACACGGTACATGAGCCGCGCAGCCTTGTGCCTGCAGATAACGAGTCACCGCCAGACCGAGGCGAATGGCGGGTCGATAAGAAGCGAGACAGGTAGAGATAGTGAGGAGAGAAAAAAACAGCTTCTAGCTAATGCGGTTACATGGCAGGAAGATGTGGCTCCGCGTTACAGAGCGAGCTGGAGAAGCGGCATGCTGCTATCGCGGATATAAGTGTGCCTCAGACCTGCTGCAACCAAGGAAACAGCCGGAATGGCCCACGATGTCGCACAATGGGAGATCAACGACTCGTCCATCCCCAACTGGGCGCATGGTGGTTTGGCAGACCGCTTGCATCTATCTGACTGGGAGAAAAGGGGCTGATGGAGGGGCAAGGAGCTGCCTCATAGGTGGTGGGGAAAGGCCGCGAGTCAAAACTTACTTTGGAGGAGGTTGGCGGTGAGGTTGCCTTTGATTAAAAAGAGAACAGAAAATGCAATTGAATGAATTATGAGAATCACAGCGGTGTTGGATGAGAACGTGAAACTTGTTGTGTTCTCAAACTGGGCGGCGCTGGCGGGCCACTTATATCGCTACTTGGATGCCTTCTTCGTCATTTGGTACAAATCCGGTCTCCAGCTGTGGGGTGCGGGACTCGAGTTCGTACTGTGTTACGAGAGAAGCTCTCCAAATTCCAAAGCGGCAGACGCTTGCACCACCGGGATCTCGTGGTCTGTTTTGTCCGCTTCAACCGGCTAGCACGTCCGCAATTGATTCGACCCAGTGGCTACTCCTGTTTCTCCTCAGGAGTCAACAGCAGAGACATGTATGTACCTGTACGTACCACCTAGTACCTTGAAGCAGCCACGTCGTTTTGAGGCGATGTTAGAGTTCAGCTCTCCTCGCCCGATCATAGTCTCTCGTCCCGCCAACGTCTTTGATCCCGCAAGTTTAAATCTGGATGGTGAGCTGGCTTGTTTCCTTTGCTTGCTTTCGAGACACAGCATAATAGACTACAATCACGCCTTGAACACAATAAACATCGAATAATAATCCAGATTGCCAAAAGTCATCAAGGTACACAGTCTAGCAGCACGGACCCAGGTGCCCTTTTCCCCTGGCATCTGGGCTGAGGTCTGTCATTTCTTCCCCACCATTTCCCCACCTCGCGATGGGCATCCACCTGGCGTGCTGGCCAAGATGGCTGACAGAAGTTCTGGAATTGCCCAAATATTCAAATGACCAGAAGAGATTTCCTCTCACCGACGAGACCTGCTCGATTTATCGATGAGCTGTTCCCTTTAGCGTAGCAGATACACCGTTGGAAAAAAGCCTGTTGAGGACCGCTTCTCCAGAATGGCGGGGTATCTGAATCTTTCACTGACGTGCGGGGCCTGCTGGGCGATCGAGCTTGGATATTCACGTGATGTGATTGGCCCGCTCTGAGATCCACGTGTGATGATGCCTCCCTCGAGACGAAGACACGAAGACTCCGGGCCATCCATCCATCATCTTTGTGGCATATTGCATTGTTGCCTACTATTTTGATAATATTGCAGTCTGCTAATGCAAAATCAGAGAATTCCTCCAACTCCTGCCAATCACGGCAACCCCACCGGCCTCGTCTCCCGGTGACCGCCTTTTCCACGATACAACACCATTTTTTTCCAGCATCTTTTTTAGGCCTTCACAAACCGGCCGGCATCCAAGCCAGTCCGCTTGGCGTTCCTATCCAGCCTGGGCGTTTTCAGCAGGTCGAAAAAATCGAAACTCCACCCAGATCTCATCGAACTGACGACGATATTCGTAGGGCCGACCGGGTCATCTCTCTCCTGTTCCTTCGTGCTCCTTCGAGTCCCTGCGGAGAACTGCAGTCTAACGTGCCAAGAAATACCGCACCCATCAATCCAAGCAGCTCAGCAGATTCATGACGCAATCTTCGTTGTGTTCGTGGCAGCCGTTGCCCACGCCGTATACTGTACTCTGTGGCAACACAATTAGCAACAGAAACGACACATTGTTGATATCCTGCAGGACCTTGGGAACACAACAGCAGCAGCCCGAGTGGGATGTCCTCCTGATGTCACACAGGAGCGATTCATTCAACCACCAACCACCATCCTTGCACCTGCCCAGGATTTATTTCTATCCTTCTAGAAGAAACGCACGGACCATCTCACTTACACGCTCAAGGAGCATCACCACTTACAGCAACTGAGATCAAGGCTTGATTAGTTATCAGATATTGCAGGGTCACCTCAGACGATGCAAGTGCATCTCCATCTTTTCTGCGTTTTAAAATCAGATACCATCCATTACATCCCACCTCATCTGACAGTCTATACTTGTGTTACCCTCACCAACATTTCACAGCCTTCCAGTAGGGGGCCCCATTTTCTTACAAAGCCTTCACTCATCTCCCATCCCTGCTCGCCCCACGGATCACACAGCACCATGTCCACCTCGTCATCCTGATACCCCTGAGACCCGCCGTTCGCGATGTCATTGTAAAATTCAGTCGTGTTATACACGTCTTGGTACATGATCAGGTTATCTCGAAGCTTGGGAAAAGGCACCGAGTCGATCCAACACTCGTGTGGAACGCTTTTCTGCAATGATGTCGGCCGCAGGGAGCTTCGGTCCATATTTAGGGGTATGAGAAAGACGCTCACGACCACGTCGGTCATATACGCCCTCGACGAGTTATATTGATCCAGCGGTATCCAGGAACGGTCCGCCAAACCAGAGTCTGCAAGCGGGAAGGAATCAGGAGAGACCGACGAAGACCCAGGGAACGACGCATTGTAGATGTCTGTTGGTGCCGCCTGAACTGGGGCTCTGCTGCTTGACGGGATGCAGGTGGCCGGAAATGGCATGAATTCGGCGATAGAGGATGGGTTGAAGTCGGAGAATGCGGTTGGACTAGTCATCGGGGCCGATGGTGCAACGAAGAAATCGGACGCATCTGCCGGCAATGGATATTCTGCAGCCGTCTCCTCGCGTGGTACCCCTGTCTGGTCCTGGTCTTTTTGTTTTGCGGCTGCCTTACGCTTGCCTGCACAACATATCAAAAGCCTTGTGTCAGTCACTCAAAGCATATGGGTTGTCCTCGAGCCAGGACCACCACTCTGAAGACTTACGCCATGCCCGCTGATGAAGCCGATTCTGACGACGCCTACGCTCTGCCGGATCAGTTACTCCAGTCCAGTCATCTGTGATCTCGAGAGCCTGTCATCAATTCAGTGTTAGCCCAGGCAGCAATTTGGAGTCGGAAACATCAGCATCAACGCACTTCGGATAGTTCTTTTTTCCGGCCAAGTACCAAACAATGCATTCTTTGACTCGGACCTGTCATGATTTGGGGTTCGGTGTAAGTGACTAATACGCTGACGAGTTTGCTGATAGGGCGAGGGACGCTCGATTCAAATAGGAAAAGAGAAGCTGATTCCCTGACGGGCTATGCGTCTTGGGCAGCTTTAGAAGCATTCTGCATATATATCTACTTCTCCTCTGTTAACCTTGAACCCCTGATATCGAAGATGGAGAAAGCTTCTAGGACTACGCCTTGAGCTTCAAGTACCGCGGAAATGACATCTGATTGGACGCTTGGCCGCCAGCAGAAAGGGGTCACATTGGTTGGTCTCGTTCGCACCTAAGCAACCTCGCATTACCGCAGCACCCTTCACTAGCCTGCAACCAGCTTATAATCCGAGCTGTGGACACTACCAAAGTCCGAGATGTTAGTCTCAAAATGGAGCATTTTGAGAATGGGTGACAAGGGCAGTAGTACTAAAAGGGCGTTGCTCCTGGGATCTGATGGGATGAGTAACGAGATACTTTGCTGACTTGTTCCCTTGTTTGGAAATCGAATTGCAAGTTTCTGATAATAGAACATCGAGAGGCATCACATCGAGCGCAGCCAGCATCATCAGCATCATCATACCACCACGCCCGCTACTACCCGGGAGCCACCCACTCGTCGCGACACCACAATGAGCGGCAGTACTGACCAAACCACAAACTCCTCTGGTTCATCTCGGCCATCACTCTCACAGCAGCAATGGGTATCCTCACCAGCTTCACCACTCGGCATCGTGTTTCTCTCCGCCTGCAATGAAGCCCCTACATCTCAAGAGACCTATCTGCAGAATCATCTGAGTAACTACGCCCGAAGCTTCTATTCGACGCCACCGGGGTCATCCAGCCCACCGGGTTCCTCCTCACAAGTGACATCCTCTTCCCGTCCGTAGGGCTATAGCACCAGCGGGTGTGGACAGATGACGGCATACTTGGCAGTACCTAATCGAATCTCGTTTTCTTTCCGGTGCGTGGCAGAACCCAATCATGACTGCCAGAGACGTGACCACTCGATGCGGCCTACACTGCAGAGAAAGTCTATCTTTTGCTGCATGTCATCAATTGAGCCCTACGCTTTGTGTCTCTGCTGCGTTTTGAATCGGGTAGAAGTCAGCAGTAGTGATGTACTGGGACTAAATCATTCGCTTAGGCAAGGTTCTTTTTTGGGTGTTTATGGGGCGGTTTTTTGGCACTTGGTTATAGGTTTCAGGGGTGGAATTGTTTCTTTTATTTTGGGACAGGGCCTAATCCGAGTTGGGGGGAGGATGACTGAAGAGGGTCCAATGGTTTGGATATCACCATCACGAAACTCACCACAATCACACACATTTCTCGCCGAAACTCTTCGAATCTCGAGGCCGGATGGAGCAAGAATCATCACGGGAAGGACCAATTCCGGTGGGGTTGAGCGGCGGCAAAGGGAAGGGCGGAGTGTGTTTGTGTGTGTTGGGGGGGGGGGGGGGGGGTTGGTAAACTCTAACTACTTCTAGAAGCAAAAGATGGGAGGGAGACTCTAGGACGCTTCTGCGGCGGAGACGGGTATAATCACCGTCACCGGTGGTCCGGTTCCTCCTGGAAAGTGCGGTGGTAGCAGACATGCATGGCCCGTTTCATTGGGTCGACGGGAGGATCAAGAGGCGTGTTTCTTATTCATGGGTGGTGTTTCTTGGGGTATTGGGTTAGTTTGGGGGGCGAAGTCCGAAGGCGGCGAGGTATACGGTCAGGACTTGATATCACTTGGGGGGATGGGGCAAGACTGGAAACAAGGAACAAGGCGGCGAGCAAACAGGAAGCCAACAACCAAGACATCAACAACAATATACACGAACTTTTTCAACGCGATTTAGAAACTCTCTACAGGACATGGGTGTTTGAAATGCAGATATGATTCATCCTTACATGTATCTGCCCGCGAGCTTACTCATCTCTACGGCGGTTGGCGTTGAATTGGCTGACGGCATCACACGAAGGTTGTATTGTAGCCTGGCCTTGGCTTTCTACAGCCCGATTTGGGGTATATCTTTCGAGCTGAGGCCGCAACGTTGCGGAGAAGGGGAGCAATGAATGGGTTGATCTCGATGCTTTTAAGAAGCGAAGAGAAGAAGGTGCATGGAGGGAATACGCTGTTTTGGTAAACTCCGGTTGCTGTCGGGGAAATACCGACTGATGATTTTGTGGTGATGGAGTCAGAAAGGGTAGCTCGTATTCTGGGGGTGGAGAGGATGTGCACTTGAATGTGTGTTATGGACCAAGTCTGCCTTGTGAGTTCACGGGAATGCCGATTGTTTATACGTTCTGGGCAGCATGAGAAAAAGAAGGGGGATCGTCAACATGTCAAACTTGGCCTGCAATACTCTGGATGTAAAGACTGGGGTGGCAAAGTAAGTTGACATGTCACCATCCTCTAGATTGCGTGACAAAGGTTGGCCAAAACTCCTCCAGAGATAGTGTATAGCTTTTTCAAGATAGTTCATAGACCTTGAATAATAAGTGATAGCCATTCAAAGATAGTGGACATGCCTATCCGTGTCTTGAGGATGCATTCAATAATAAATAATAACCATTAAATGATAGTGAACAGGCCTATCTGTATCGTAAGGAGGCGTAAGTCGATCGCCCATCTAAGTACATTTGCTAACTTACAGCACTGCTGATATTATCTGGGGCGGGCCCCTTCCCCAGATACCAGTCCTCTTTATAATCCCTAGTCAGAGCCGCCCTCCTCGTTACCCCCATATCCACACTCACGAGCCATACGCTCCTCGTACTGCCCATCCTCCTCCGCCAGCCGTTCCAGCCGTGCCAGCCGTTCAACAGACTCGTCAACGTCACTGGTGCTAGGCGAAGGGAAACTAGCCCGTGGCACTTGCTTCCTTTTTATCCCCTCCACCCGCTTCCTCACCACCTCGCCAATCCCACGTTATGAGACTTCCGCAGGGAAAAGCCAAGGAGGCAGCGGCATAAAACCCTCTCCCTTCAAGTCAGAAAACGTATTCAACAACCTTCCGGCAGCCAAATTCACATTCCCAAGCCACCTCTCGGGAACCCACCGCCGAAGTGCAACTTCCGGACCGAGGGCACCTGTCCCCCTATCAGGCCAGCCCAGAATAATCGGCGACTCAGGCTTCAACCTCTCCGCGGGTAGGCCCATCATCGCCCTATCCCCACGGTGATAAGGATGAGCAAAAACATCCTGGTCCACCCATCTGTACACAAACGCACAAGTAAACCCAAACAGCTTGACACTCCCATCACTCAGAATCAACACCTTGCCCAGGCCAAGAGCATTGACCCCAATCTCAACATTCCACCACATTTTATTACTCGCCTCCGACACCTTCCGTGGAATATCCAACCGAGTCTTCTCATCAGGAAGCATACCATGATCCACCGTCCCATCAATGGTACGAGCCCTCCCAATCTTCTCCATCGTCTCCGCCCCCTTGTAATGATCCATCAACACCATCCTCACCCACCTCGCCGTCCTCTCCGGGACGTGCGTCTCCACCTCAAAATTAAAACTTCCATTAAACTGGGGGACGATAACCATCAGACCCTTCCCCCTCCCCCCCCCCCCCCCCAAAAAAAAAGACGAAAAACACTTGTACGCGTGCGTCTCGGTAGGGTAATCAAGTTCCGCCCTCGCCATGCAGTCCAGATACTCCTAGCACGCCTTCCCCTCCATCCGAAGATCACACCCTGGGTTGCCGTGGGGTGGGTAATCCACCCCGTCGTATATCTTCGCGACGGACGTGTTGTTGGGTTTGTTGTCCATGTAGCAAATCACCACGTGCGGTCCCCCTTCGTTTTCCAAATCGTTAAATTTGCGGGTGGCGATGTCTTGAGGGATGGTGATCTCGTAGATATCCCCAAAGTCGATAGGTTTTGTCTCCATGGGGGGGGGGGGGTTGTCAAGCGCAAAGTTGATACGGTCGGTGAGGGAGCTGCTTTGGGGGCCAGGGTGCTGCTGGTGGTTGTGGCCGACGTGGGAGTAACGACGGGGAGGTTCCCCATTGTAGTGTGTACCCCATGGTCCGGGTGCTCGATGTTTGAAGAGGGTGAGGGCGCGGCCGGGGCGGTAGCGTCCATGTGGACCAAGGCGGTCGGGCGAGGTGGTGGTGATGGTGTTGTCTGTGCTCATGGTGACGAACGGGTTTTGTCTTGTTGATAGATAGTGTGGGAAGATGTCAGGTATGGAAAAGATTGGCAGTTGAGAGAGGCAGCTAAGTGTGATGTGTCGGGTAAGAAGGAAAAGTGCGGGCTGGGTGTGAGGAAGGGTGGCTTTATAGATTTGCTAAACTCTACAGGGAGCAAAAGACTTCAAGCCACTATGGAAAGTTCAGCACATGAGAGAAAGTTCAACACAGAATCAAAGTCTAAGGAAGAGAGAAAACCTTCAGTGGTGGAAAAGATGGCTTGGTTTGCCGCACTGTTGTCTTAAGCTTAGATGCTAGAATGTGTTAGAATTAGACTGATAAACCTACATGATTTTGCAAACACCTGTAACTTTATGGGTATCGTTTCGTTTGCCATTTAGTATCCCAGTGTATAAATAAGCGGCAGACACTTCGGCAGGCCACCTGGTTCCTAACCTCCTCAATTAAACCAAGATAAATCATTATGGGGGCTTGGCACTAGAAACTAACGACTCTCTGAATGCCCAGAATATCGCTCTGGCCACATATTGAACCACCGTTTGGCCGATCATATCGCTATGTGAAAAGTGTCGCTATACTTCGTATGGCTGTGTATAGGTCTGACCGTAAAGCTCCAACCTCCCCTAATCTTCCATGAATGAAGATGATAAGCCCCCATTATGACTTACTCACCCTTCTCCTCCTCGGCCCTGCCTCCCCCTTTGCAGCATCACTATAATTCGTACTCGTCCCAATGCCCGAGTCCTTCCAATCGCTCCCCTCCCCATCCTCCTCATCATCCCCCTGTTCACCAAAATCTGGCAATTTGGTCATTAAGAGGTCCAATCCCTCCTCGCCTTCCTCCTTCTTAATCTTCCCCTCCAGCCCCGACGAACTCTCATACCTCAACGGCGGTTCTCCCGTCCCAGTAGGAAATGTTCTTTCCGTATCCGACATCTCATCTTCCTCCTTAATCAGACTATGTTCCAGCGTCGGTTCCTGCCTCGGTTCCCAGTCTTCAATCTGCTTTTGTTGATCGCTACCACGAATACCCCCGAGAAGCAGAATCCCCAACGCCAAACACCCCATCTCTACCGCCCAAAAGAGCCCCGTGATTCCAAAAAACGACAGGATACGCCATTCATACATCACCCACCTCAATCCCCTCAACCTGGCCACAATTTCGACCCGGCATTCATATACCCCCAATCCCTGCCCAGCCTGCACCTCCACCACCATACTCCTTGGCATCTTCTCCCCCTGTCCCTGTCCCTTTCTCAACCAAGAGTCACCCCTCCCACTCCCAAAAGCCACCCCCTCCACCATCTTCACCTCCAACATCGTCGCATCCGCCCGTTGCGTAAACAACACGTGATACGGCAAAAACAATATCCTCTTCGCCAAGGAAACCAACGGATCAGTATAAGGAATAATTGCCGGCCTCGCACTTGTCAATAACACCGTCGAGGACTTCATCAACGGCCCCAAACTGAGACTCGTCACCAAATCCGTCTGCCCGGTCGTCTTATCCATCAACACAACAGGATTATACATCCCCGCCCCCCCAGCAGGTGTGTGCTCCGTCAGGTCCGTATCCAGCAAGTGGATCAGCACCATGAAATTCCCCCTCTTTGTATTCTCCGGCGTCAGAGGCAGCGTCAACGAAACCGATATATCGTACGGTTGGTCAGGGAGGAGCTTCAGGCTTGTTAACGCGACCGGGTTTTGGCCGTATCTGCCATCAACAGTCAGCCACAGACTTTTAAGAAAACAGGGGAGAAGGGAGAGGTGGGAGAGCACACCCATAATGCAGATAAACCTCCTGCTCATGCACCTGTTTGGGCAGGTAAACATAGTAAGAGGCCACGTAGACCACCGCAGCAACAAGATATAGTATGACCGCCGCGGTGAGTAGCAAAATCGACCATATCAAACTCCTCTGAACAGTCCTAGACGTCAACAGGTAAACAACCCCCTTCTTCGTCTCCCTCAACAACGCGCAGAGCCCGGTCGTGATCTGGCTCCATTGGTGGGATAGGAGGGCAAATTCGTCGTCTTCGCCGGCGGCAACAGTGTTGCGTTGGGCCTGGCCACATCAAAAGGTTAGCGGTCCAGATAGAGAACTTATGAAACTCAAGGGAGGGCGACGCGTACCATCTTGTCACAATTACCTGGATCCAATGGCCTCGCGTGGATCAAAAAAAAACCTAGTGTATCTCCAGCTTGTGGTGTTTGTCGCTCTCTCTACCAAACGTGGTTCATTCTCCGGATGTAATATTAAGATGTGATGCTGAAATCGTCTGGAGGAATTCGCTGCCCTCTCTTTATTACCACATACCGTGTCCGTTCCGTGGTTCCTGCCCAACTGAGGTAACTTCACTCACACACGAAAAATGTCAGGCGCATTCTCATTGGCATGTGAAGTGCGAAATTGCAGCTGGCTGTTTGGGGGAAGAGCTAGGGACCAGGAGCTTTCACCCCCCACCCCACCCCCCCCACTTTTTGGCATCCCTGCAGCGCCTGATGTCATCCCAACTTAGCGCTTCACATGGGTCTTGGCATCCAATATCCGATATCCACTACTTGGGTCTTGCGAATAACTTCACGTCGTTGCGGTAACCTTTGGTGTGGCTGAATGAAGGCGTAACTGGAACATGGTCGTCTGAGTGTGTTCAAAGAACACGAGCAGATGGCGTAAACGCCCATCTGTCAACAACTGATGACTCCGATGGTACGAACTACTACCGGCCTGGCAGCAGGAAAGATAAATATCTCTCCCGACGCACATGCAACTGGGTAGACCACGTTTATTTCCATCTCTGTCTTTAAACTAAACAACAACATAGCAATGGGGTAGTCGTAGTAGCAGTAACCGGAAAATGATCCCAAGCAGAAGAAAACAAGCTGAAAAAGAAAAAAAGTAAAAAATAATCCATCAATCAAAATCAGAACAAGCTCGCTCGAGCAAAAACCCCCAATACAAACCCCATCGTTCCATGTACACATTTCAGACATCCCAAATCGTCACCATCCCCTTCCTAAGTCCAACCCAAGCCCTTGGTATCCCCCATCATTATAAAACAAACCATGACAGATCCACCAACCCAACCCAACCCCAACCATACCGCCGTGAAGAAGTCGGAGGGATTCACCCCTTTCCCACATCTTCTTTTCCACCTCCATCCCATAACCTCCTACTATCCTCCTCTCGCCATCTTCTCCTTTCCCCATCATATCCCGTTTGCCCTGTTGCAACTCCCCTAACTCAGAGGCTGCAAATAGTTACTGGGCACCAACCCAACCTGCCCATTCCCACCCTGCACCGTCGCCTCCCACCACCCATCATCCTGATGCCTCAACACAGCCAAAACATCCCCCTTTGCAAACCCCAGCTCCTCCGGAATCGCCGCTTGGTACATATACAGTGCTCGAGCTACAACCAACGTTAGCCAACATCCCCCAAATGAACTTGTCACCGTTAAACTCACCAAAATGCATAATAGCCCTCCCATCCCTAGTGTACGTCCCCGGATCCCCCACCTGCCTATCCCTCCCCCCAGCCCCCCCAGCAGCAACACTCTTGCTCCTCGCCCTGCTCGCCCCTCCATTCCCACCACTCCCCTCATACAAACTCATATTGCTCGCCACCACATTCCCACTGCTCCCCGCCCTGACGTTCCCGGCCGTATTGCTCCTCGCATGCCTCCCCCTCTGACTCCCCCCATACAAACTCCCCTCATCCCCACCACCACCCGTCGGGATCGACCCCGCCACCGAAAGCGCCATCGAATGATTCTGGTGTCCCGACATACTACTCGCCGGCCTCTGACTATACGGCGCCGGGCTCGCACTCCTCCCATCACCCATCACGCTCGGCGACCCCCTCCCGGGCTGCTCATACCGACCAGAATAACTCCCCCTATGCTGCTGCTGCGACGACACAGACCCCCGATGCTGCTGACTCTGATGCTGACTCCCCGTCGAACTCGAAAACATATTCGGACTCGCACTCCCATTCCCATACCCGACACTGGGACTAGCCCTCGACCCCGGCCTAGGACTAGCACTCCTCGTCGGCGCCGGACTCGCCGCCCTGACCGTATCATTCCCCCTCGTCCCCGGCCTCGACATACTCCTAGCATAATCCCCCCCACCACCCCCCCCAGACCCCGGCCGTCCCCCATCAAACAAGCTCCTCGTCTGCGTCTGGAACTTCTCCGAAGCCGCCTTCATCGCCTTGGACGTGACCGCCGGCGGCGGCACCCCCAACCGCTGAACCTGAACCTGCTGATCATAACTTGGCGGCGGCGTCCCCCTCATGGCAGCAACAACAGCGCTGTTCCCGCTTACACTCATCGCTCCCGACCTCCCTCCAGGAGCGGGCGTGGCAATACCATGATAGTGATCTGCCGACACCCTTCCCCCACCCCCGCTACCATTCATCTTGTTACTCCCCGATGTCACCCCCTTCAGCTCCGCAAGCGCCATAGCAATTGGGTCGTCTTCTGGTGTAGCCGGCGAAGCTTGCTGTTTTTGACGAGCAGTGTCGTCAACCTGGAAGACGTTTCCTCCCACGTTGAGTGCGAGGCTAGCATTGGCAGCAATGGGATCGGGACTGACGCTTCGGTCGGGGGTGATGACCTGGTCGTTGCTCTTGTTAAAAGCCCCCGTGAGCTGGGGACGCTGGTTGTTGGTGGGGTGCCAGGTGTTTCTGCTGTTGGGGGCGACTTCCTTGATGCTCTTTCTGCGGAAGGGACTGTTGTTTCCAAAGAACCCGCTCTTCTTCTTGAGGACCTTTTTGTCGGGGGACTCACTGCCTTGTTGGGGCTGTTGCTGTTGTTGGAGTTGTTGAGGTGGTTGCTGTTGCTGTTGTTGGACAGGGGGTTGGCGCTGTTGGGCTGGTGGCTGCTGCTGCTGCTGCTGCTGCTGTTTGACGGGCGCCATGGCTTGCTGGGGCGGTTCTTGACTAGAGAAGGACGTCTCGCTGTGGGAGCCTCTGCTAGAGGGTCGGGCCGATGTGGCAGATGGCGCCGTGCTGAGGTCTGAAGCTGTGGGCCGGCAGAGCATGGTCATGCCATCCATTGGGTAGGGATCGTGAGGAACAGGCGCGAACTCGTTGGGGTCGTAGTCCATGTTGCTGGCTTGAGGAGACTGATAGCCTCTAGGCGCTGCCCTCCGTTGATCTTGTTTCAAGTCTTGCTGGGGAATAACCGGGACCGCAGCAGCAATCGCCTTCTGAGGCAACGCCGCCGCTTGGCCTCGTGCCGGCTCAGGATCACCATGAAGCTTCCGTGCCAATGCCGAGTTCGGATCGTGATGAGACTCAAAAGTCGAGGGTTGTGGCGACGAAGAGCGGAAAGCCGGGTTTATACTCCTCGAAAACTGCGCGACCGAATAATTATCATCGTCCGACACCTCCGACTGGGAATCCATATCCCCCCGGCAAAAGTTGATGTACTTTGGCGCATCCGGAATCTCCTGGCCAGTCCCCTTCTCGGTGATGAACGTTATTATGTCCTTCTCCACCTCCATATGTTCCAGGGACAGCCTGATCTTTTCGCAGGAAGAGTCGTCACTAACGCAGACAGTCGACGCAATATTCGCAAACTGCCAGAGGCTGCTCTTGGTGAAATCCAAGCGCTCCTCCTCTAAATCCTGGAACTTGTCAGCCGCCGCCTTCCACTCCCTGTTCCACCTCGCCGTTGTCTCCTCCAGCGCCCTGACCGCAGCCTCGTACTCGGCGTTGGAGGCAGCCAAGCTGATCTGTGTCTTCTCCAACTTCGCCTTATTCTTTCTCTCCTCTTGGCCCATGACCATGTGCCCTTGCGCGAGGTAGCCCTTGATCTTGAGACACTCCTGCTCGTACTTGTCTCTCGTCTTGTTGACCATCTGCGTCTGCTGCACCTTGGTCTTGAGCAGCTTCTCCACCGTGTTCTGCACAATCTTTCGTCGCTCCTTCATCCCACCAGCAAACGCAGCCAGGGGTTCCTCGAGTTCGCTCTTCATTTGCTGCGCGATATGCTGATGCTGTTTGCCCATCGACTCGACTTCAGCCCGGACAATATCCAGCGACTGTCTCAAAGTCCCCGTCTCCTGCGAACCCAGGTTCTTGCGGCATAGCGAGAGTAGTTTTCGGGCGTAATCGTCTTCGATAGATGCGCGGGCTGTTTTTTTTTTCCCCTGACTGTCAGTCGATTCTCACCTGGCCTGAAAGGGAGAGAAACTCACCGCTGTAGAAGTTCTTGAGTTCATCGCATGTGAGCTTGGCGTTTGCCATGCGCTCGAGCAGGGGTCCGACACCGGCATCGTCTTTACCCCAGAAGTTGTTGGCGACTATTATTATCGGAAAAAGTCAGTCGTTGAATCCCCCTTCCGAAGTTGTCCAGCTTCATCAAACTTACAAGAAAGGGCGACGGCCGGCCCATCGTTGTAATCGGCCGTCATGGCGCCTGACGGAGAAGCGAAACTGAGATTGACCTAGTTTTTTCTCCTTTCTGCTTCAAGTGAAAATCCCCGGAAAATACTAGGAAATTTTGCTTTGCCGCCGCAGCGTCGCGGGCAATGTGCTCTTCAATCTGATATAGTGTTGCAAAAATCGATATGGAAAACCCGCGCGCAAAGTCGGCCAGCGAGACAAGACACACAAAAGGAAGATTGCCGCTGCGGTAAAAGGGCTGGTAAAGACAGTTTCAATATGCCGGGTGAGTTAAGAAGGGGGGGTTGGATCTGGAATGTATAATGGGTGTTGAAGAAAGGGAAAGAGAGCAACAGTTCTTGGTTTCCTGCTGCACAAGTGTTGACTTCCTTTGCCGCTGACGCCGGGTTGGATGGATTGGTCGCGAGGGGCAACCACACTGCACAAGCGCCGAGCCGCTCTGACTTGCATGATCAGCCCTCCCCCACCATTGAAGAAATGATGGTTAGCGGGGGACTTTTACTCACTTTCTTGCTTTTGTGGTGTTTTGGCGACGGTAAACCAAACTCAAGGCCTTTTGTCAAGATTGAGGATGGTTTCTCGAGAGGGAATTGTCGTCGTGGGTCAGACAGAAAAGTGGGAAGACCCTCACAAGCTGATGATGTGTTAAGGAGGGGCTGGGAAAGCCTTGCTCGATTGCTCCCTATTCGTTGGTTGTCCTGCGCTAACAACGTGGTGCTCAGATCCGCCTTCTCTTCGGAAAGGGGCACATTATCCAAGGTCAAAATTGTGCTTCTTTAGGTATTGACGGGTCCTAAGCGTCTATCGCTCGGGTTCCAGCTCAGTCAACATCACTGGTAGTTGAGTTGCAGCAACCAAGTCGCTCGGCTTATGGGTGCTTGGGCGGATGGCCAAAGATCCCTCGCCTGCAAGCTCAAGATCTCTCGCCCGCAAGCCCGCTATGTCGTCTCTAACCGCAGTCGCCCAGGCCTTTAACAATCGGGTCAACGCAACCCCCAAAAGCATCATCTTGGGCTTGCGGGCGAGGAATTTCGGGCTTGCGGGCGATTGTTAATCGCGATAGCTGCAGAATACGAAAAGAGGGAAGAGAACGACTGCATTTCTTTGTTTGCTTTTGGCTTTCACAGTGCGCTCCTTCCTTTAAATACGACCTTGTTCGTTCCTTCCCCAAAGTGACCCTTCGTTCTTTCCCCCAAATCAGCCTGGTCAAGGCCGTAAAAACACCGTAGTCTCCCATTCAGCCTTGTTTACTACTTATATGAAGAAAGCTTAAGACTTAGTATAGTATGGCTTTGAAGGGCTCGGGAGGACTTGTCCAGTTTAGTTTAAGAGATGTTTGGACTATAGAGAGAGGCGCTTTGGACATTGATTTGGTATGTGTATGGTCGATCAGATCATGAAATCTTCAGGATATGAGGTGGGGGCTCTGCCAAAACTCAATACAGTTACACAGTATGGTCAAACCTCAAGTTGGGATTCTCTTTCCTGATCTCAAAATTCATGACTGATCCCCTCGTCTCAGCTTTAGAAGATCCACCAACTTCACCGACCCCTTCCCACCCCAGCCATTTGGGCCACTATCCACCTCTGGACGAATGGCGCAGTACCAAGCCCACGCCCTCCTATCGAGTTCTGCCACATCAAGATGATCCGCCCAGCTATCAAAAAGCAATCTCAACGCCCCAAGCAACAACCCCAAATTCTCCTCCCTCTCCGCCTCCAGTACTTTGGCCGTTTTATGCACCGCTTTTTTCTTTGAAGGGCTCGTCGCTGTTTCGTCGGCTGGTGGTGGTGATGGCTTCCCAAAACTCCTCAGCAGATACGATCTGGCCGCCTCGGGCCGGTGAATATGCATCCCCACCACATGGGTTAGCGGCTGCAGCTGCTTGCCTGACCCGTAACCTCCAACTGTGGTCCCAGGCTGGGCTTTTCTCATGGCCTCGAGATCCAGGCCCCAAAGAGCCTCTCCTCCGAGTGAAATACTTCCTCCCGTCTTTCGCATTCGTTCACCGAGCGCAGACGTAACCGCATTTCTCATCAACCTCCACCTGTCCGGCCCTAACATCGTCCCTCCGAACCAACGGGTGAGAACGACAAGTGTATCGACCGCCCCAGCCTCCCGCATAACCTTCAGCATGAGATCCCCACACCCAGTCTCCCCATCATCAAACGACTCCTCCCTCATGGTCCTCTGAGTGAGCCAATTCGCATTCTCTGGCGGCTTCAGCCGGAAAGCCCAGGCATTATGCGTTGCACTCTTCAACTCAGGGTGATTATGCATCAAGCTCTCCATCAAGTACTTCCTCTGCGACGGTGACGTTAAATGAATGGCCCTCGCCACAAACTTGGAGTCCTTCATAATAATCGGCGGGCTCGTAGACCAAGTAGCCGTAGGTGTAGGCGCCGGGTCCAGCGTCGAGGCCGTCGTTGCACTCGTCGCCTGTGACCCTCCCGCTCCATCCTTTTTTTCGTCGCCGGACCTTTCCTCACCTTTCCACTCATACCCACTCCTTTTGAGAACCGCAACCTCCCTACCCATTACCTTCACCCTCGGCTGACCTTCCCCATACCCCTCCTGATCCGCACTGGGGCCTTTGTCCAGTCCCAAACTCACAGCCTTGGACCGAGAGTTGGCGCTCACCACCGCCTGACCGAGGCTGAGTCTACTCGATAACGGCTGCTCAGGCATGGTATATCTAAGCATCTCCACCGCAAAGGCAAGTACGAGTGGCGCCCGGTTAGTTTCGATGACCGTCTCCTTTATAGTATCCTCGTCTGTGCATATTGGCAGCTCCAGGGAAGCCTCCAATTCCTGGGGGGTCATTTCAACAGGGCCAGTCATGAAAACGTCGCTTTTGGCGCGTTTGGATACCGGTGATGTGGATGATATTGATGATCCACGCTTGAGAACACCGCCGCCAGAGGGTGGTGATGATGACTGTGTGGCATTTCTCTTGATGACGGCCTTGCAGGCGTTTTGGAGAGCGCGTGCGACCTTGTCGTCTTTGAGAGCTTCCTGAACGGTGGGGAGGGACGCTTCGGATATTTGTTTGATGCTGTTTTGACTTGTTAGTTGATATTGAATCGGTATAGATGTCGATAAAGTCGTATATTCCCAAACGAATATGAGGTCGAGGCTCAAAATCAAGCCGATAGCTCACCTCCTGAGATCAACTGCCTGGAGGGCTTTGATTGATGTCATAGCTTGGAGCATGGGCATTTTTCTTGTGACGGTCATGAGCCGTATGAGGTCTTGGAGATCCTGTTGGGTAGCCATCTTTGCAATGTGACTGACTGCCTGGAAAACGATGAGGCCGGTAGACGTCTTCGTGAGAAATGTCGTGAAGACGAAGTGATGGTCGCGTGTGAGTGCCAGGAGAAGGGGCGAATCAGGATACCCCTGGCTAGCTTTGTGTGGGGAATCTAGGCACCTGTGGAGCCGTGTGCGGGAAGGTGGGGGGGTGGCATCATTGACAGAGAAAGACTGCAACAAGATAGCAAGGCCTTGAAAGACAATCAACAGGCCTTCAAACATAATTAACAGGCCTTTAGGGATAGTTGATAGGCCCTGAACACGTATCAAAAGGCCTTGAAAATATATTAAAAGGCCTTCAAAACATATTAATAGGCCTTCGAAGATATTTACAGTCATCTCAATAGAGTTGAGAGGCCTTGAAAGACAGTCAAGAGGCATGCTAACCATCTTCTAAGGTCTGTTGATTATCTTTCAAGGCATTAATTATTTTGTCCATGACCTGACAAGGTGGGCCTTTACCGTGGTGAGCGTTGATTATGTAATCTCCACATTCGACACTCAACAAGAGTCTGATTGGCTGGAAAGCTCTGGCTCACTCAAGCTTCACAAATGACCATCAAGGGTGAGTGAGAGCTCACACCACACCCGCCCAGGCCACCACCGGATCCCGTACCCGGACTTATATGAGAGCAGGGCAACACCCATCACCCCTCTCTCACACCACAACCATGGCCTCCCGACTAAGGCTGTCCTCAAGGACACCCTTCTCATTACACCCTCACCTCTATTCACCTTCCAACCTGCCCAGCTACTCCCGCCAATTAACCCTCTCTTCAGCCCTTCAATACGCCAAACGAAAACCATCCCCATCCTCACCACCCTCGCCACCCCAAAGCCCCCTCCGCTCCAAAAAGTCCCCCCTCCCCCCACCGAACAACTTCGTCCCCCCAAAACCAAAACTCTCCCTCTACCGCGACGACACCCCCACCTCAAAACCCCCCCTCACCCTAGAAGAAAACATCCAACGCCACCGCAAAATACCCCTCTACGGCGCCCTCGCAGTCGCCTTCCTCGCCTCCTTGTACATCTCAGCAGTAGTAACAAACACCTTCAAAAAAACCCCCGTCTCCGACCTCGCCCCCCTCGGCCCATCCCTCCCCCAACCTCACCCCTCCTGCTGCCCCCCAACTGGCCTACCCCCCTCATTAACCCCCGTCTCCGCCCTCGAATTCGACACCTCACTCAACACGTCCGAAAGCCTCTCCCGTATCACCGCCAACAGAACCTACCTCGCCAGCCGCGCCAAAGGCCACGTCTTGGAAGTAGCTTGTGGCACGGGGAGAAATCTGCCGTATTACAGCTGGGAGTATGTAGTTCACCCGTTCGAGGAATACTCCCCCGAGGAGCAGCTCGCCAAGGCGAAGAGTAGGATGGCGAAGATATTGGATATTAAAAGGGGGAGTTCATGGGGGTATGGGACAAAGTCCAAGGTTACGGCTGGTGAGAGGAGGGTGGGGGGGATGGAGGGTGAGGTTTTGTCATATACGGCGGTGGATGTCTCGCCTGAGATGTTGTCTGTTGCACGCAATCGACTAAGGGAGTCGGTGCCGGGGTTGAGGCAGGTGATGGCTAAGAAGAGGGCTGAGCCCTACCCAAAACTGACGAACCCTGAGGAGGTCGTGCCGGTGGTTGCTGCGCTGGATGGGAGGGTTCAGTTACTGCTTGGGGATGCAGAGGCGGGACTGCCAAGGGGGAGGGAGAGGTATGATACGGTTATTCAGAGTTTCGGGCTTTGTTCGGTGAAGGATCCACAGGGGTTGCTGGTGAAGATGGCGGGGAGGGTGGTGCCCGGGACGGGGAGGATTTTGTTGCTGGAGCATGGGAGGGGTTGGTTTGGGTGGATTAATGGACTGCTAGATAAGTACGCGCCGGGGCATTTTCAGAAGTTTGGGTGTTGGTGGAATAGGGATATTGAGGGGTTGGTGAAGGGGGCGAGTGAGGAGCTGGGGGGGAGGTTGGAGGTGGTGAGGATGGATAGGCCGTGGTATCATGCGGGTACGACGGTGGTGTTGGAGTTGAGGGTGAAGGAGGAGGGGGAGGGGAAGTGATGTGTAGGATTGGGAGTGATGAGCAAATGTGTACGATCTGAATAACAAAAGGCAGATATGTGTGATGGAGTACTCTCGTGTATTTGTATCACTGGCAAATAGACAAACGATCCAAAGCTTTTTGAGCTAGACAAAATAAAAAGAACCGGATAAAATCCCCTATATATCACCATCTCATTCCAACCAAAGTCATCCACCAAAACCACCCGCAAACCCGCACCATCCACCAAACAGCAGCCCAAGATCCCCCATCTCAGCGACGCTTTTCCACCATCCGAGCTACCAAGCAACTGTCGTCGTGAAAGGGGATCAGGCATCTCTGACCCCCACATGAGACACTCTCTAGGTCTATGCCTCCGCCTCATACTGGTTACTGCGCCGCACCACCCTTTCAAGTTTGGCCTCCATGCCATGGACGAAGCACACATCATCAAGAATCCTCTCAGGATGTGCATGGTTATTCCTGTTGCTACGTCCCGGACAGTGAATCTGCCATAGTTGTAAAAGCCGTCAACTCGTAGTCTAGGGCAGTGCTGGTTGGAGAGCGAACGCGCTAGTTATCTTTCGTTGCATCACGGTAGGATCCTCGGATAATAGGGTCCAATTGAGCTGGGTGAGTTGGTCCCGTTGTAGCTACTTGCGTCCATCTGGATCCGGAGGCCACAAAACGCTCACAAACAGCTCCTGTTCGATGAGCGTTCGCAGGCGCGCGGGAATTTCGTCCCCACTGGCGCGGTCAAGTATGGGTTTCTCAGACGGGACATAGTTTTCGAGTCATCAAACAAGCCGTTTGTAATCTGCAAAGGCGGTGGGTTGGTTATGCTTTAGTTGTTAATGATCCAAACAATTCTGGTCAACATGCTTGTGGGCAATATCATTGACGTGCCCAATCATCAACTCCGACTCTAAAGATGCCCGTCTAATTTCAGAATGCAACCTAACTTGTTTGTTCAAGCCTTGCTTGGGTACTCCATACCCTGTTATAGAGTTGGAAAAGAAAGCAGAGAGTACAGTTGATGGGCCTCATGTTAAAGAGACCTATAACAAAATGGACAGCAAGAATAAGGCCCGTCGGAGATTGGAAGGAGACTCTCCAACGATAGGTAGCAGTCCTGCTTCCGACCAAAGGACGGCATTGAGAGAACGATAAAGTGATAGGAGACTATATTGTATTTCTAACGCCCTCATTCCCTTGGCACCAACGGCCTCCAGCCAAGCCGGACATCTAGGTCTCACTTCTTCTCCTTTCTATCATCATCACTCCAATGAGTAGAAAGGATCCGTGCACTCCCGTCCTCTGTCGTCTATAGCCAGTAGGTGGTATCTAGCAACTGCCTCCTAAAAACGACTCCATCCTCATCGTCCTGCTCGGAGGGCTGAATAATAATACAAAATAACGGAGAGAGCTGAGTTCGAGATCAAGAGCTTCTTCCATCTCCCTTTCCTGCTCCGTAACAAAACCCTCCTTTTTTGATCCCATCGCCCCCTTTTGTGGTAACAGATTGAGCAGAAAGAGTAGAGTCGAAACTGCATAAGCACACGTCAAAAAGCCAACAATAAACGCCGGATATAAAGAAACCGATCGCAAAGCCACCCCCAACTAAAAGCCAAGATAATACAAATCCCCTGTAACGCCATATGCAACCCACATCAGCTAAGTAGTCATAAAACGCCATGCCATGCAATATCGCCATGATGGTACCGTTCCAAACGACATAGCTTCGTCTATGGGAAGACCTGGCCCATTTTTGCCGTCCGTTCCCACCAACCGCCCAAGAGAGACAAAATAAGAAAGAAATAATGAAACGGTAAGAAACGTAAAAGCATCGCGGACAAGTCGTAACAGGCCACATGTGACCCAAAGGAAATGCTGCCGGCAATCACCCGGATACAGCCAATACTGCCAACCCCCAGATCGTACACAACGTCATGCATGCTCCCATCCTGTCATACGTACACCAAACCGGAGCCTTGCGCGTCTTCGAGCTCAGTAATCGCTCAATAGCCCATCAAGCTCGTCAAGCTCGATATTTTCAGGGCTGCGGTCCCACTCCAGCATGCTGTCCCATTTATTCCAGCTTTCGGTCTCGAGGTCTTTCCTGCTGACGGGGAAGTACATTGTAGACCGGATCGCGGGACTTGAAACAAACGACAGATTGGTCGCATTGTTATTGCTGGTTGTGTTGTTCCCGCCAAAGAGCGATCCCTCTTCTTTTTCAAGATCCAAGACGGGCAATGGCTCGACAATGGTAGGCGGGTTGGCCCTGAGCAGATCGCCATTGAGTTTCCTCTTTTGCAGGCCAGTAGCCGTCTGAGTGAACTCCTTCTCGTCCTTTTCGAGAGGAGGCGAGGCCGCACGACGGCTGCTGCTGCGGCCATTGCTGTGGTGGGCAATGAAGCGAGAGGTTGGGGGCAGGCAGAAGCCGGGAAGCGAATAAGAGCCGATAGGCGTGCTCGGCATTTCGTCATCCATATCATCAAACTCTGGGCTTGAGAGATCCACCTCCGGGCTGGGCGACAGCTCGCGGCGCCGAATGGCGTCGGAGTCGGCGTCCTCAGAGTTGGAAGCTCCACTGGACAGAGAGGGAGAGATGATGGTGCGACTGTGCGCAAGGTGGCTCAAGGTGGCCGCTTGCGCCGGGTCCGGGAGCGGCTGGTGCGGGCAGGTGGTGAGGTAAAAGTATGTGCGCCTTGGGTGGACAGACTCGAGCTCCTTGGCCAGCGGGCAAGGCGACTGAGCTGACCAGCCGCTGCGCTTCAAGTAGGTGGCTAACCTTGATGAAATGATGGCGCACGGGTTGGCGGACCTGAGAGGAAAATGGTGAGCAAGAGTGACTCTGAGGTGGGGGAGACCGAAACTCTAAACGGTTCAGAGAAAGAGAGAGGGGGGAAACATACTGTTGAACGATCTTGAGCTGCTGCATGAGGACAGCAGCGAGCTCCTTCACCAAGTGTGGTCTGTTGCCCGTGTTTTGGAGCTGAACGATGACAGCCTCGACGATCTCATCGTTGACGGCGTCCATGTCGATTGGTTTCGAGTCCTCCTCGTCCATCTCGATGGACTGTTGGGCAGCAGGAGGGGATGGCGGGGGAGTGTCTTCGAACTTGACTGTCTGGCTATCGCGCCTCTTGGGCAGCGGCTCTGAGGTGTGCGCATCATCGTCATCCTGAGTGTGCGCGCGTTTTAGCCTCCTGGAGGGGGCTTCCTTTGTGTTTGATGAAGCCATACTTGACTGAGTAGAAGAGTTGTTGGAGGAGGAAGAAGAAGAAGCTCGGCTGGCAGCAGCGGCGGCGCGGGCAGCGTGAGTTACAGGAACGTGGATTCCCAACGAGTGCAACGACAACGACTTGCGACGAGTGTTGTATGGACGCTCCGAACGCTCGGGGCGCATGATTGTGGTTGGGGCCATCGGGGGCAACAGCGAGACTTTAAAAAAGATAACGAAAGGGTTTGAAGTGGGTAGGTAGTAGATACTAGGCTATCTCCAGACCAAACCTTCTTTTTTCTTTTTCTTTTCTTGTTTTGTTGCAACCGCGCTTCACACTTCGTTACCTGCAGGAAGCACGAAATACCCGTTCCGTCACTTGTTGGAACAAGACAAGAGCAAGGGAAGACAATAGACAACAAAATGGGCGGGCGGAAAGAGGCGGAGGGTTCGGAAGGTGGTGGAGGTGGTGGATGTGGTGGATGAACCCTTCATTGAAAACGGCAGAAAAAAAAAAAGTTGGTGGGACTCCCCGGCTCTGTTTGGATGATGGAAGGGGCAACGGCAGTCGATGCGACCCCAGCGAGTGGCAGCCAAGTTCCTAGACGACCGCTGCGACAGGGGGGCCACAGCAGGATACGGCAGGGATGGTATCACAATCCGTCTAAAAAGGCGGTATGGGCTAGGGAATCGGCGCTAGAGGTGGGGTAAAAAAAAGAAGAAGCTCCCCGACGTGCGCAAAAACCTGCAGTCGCATGCACTTTCTTGCCTGCAATGCTGCGCTCGACTGCGCTCTTCCTCATCATCCAGCTGCGCGGGCCCACATAATTTTTCTGACTGTCACGAATCCTGTGTTCCCTCGCGATGTCAGAGCTCACCACCACCAACTCAGGTCGACTGGGTTTGTTGGTTATCGCGGGGAAATCGCATGGCCTCCGAGGGGCAGTCACGCCGAAAATGGACATCCGCCAATAAGATGAAGCAGTTAACCAGGAAAGGCAGTTCTGATCGCCCCCCGTCGAAACAAAAAAGGACCCTGTTCTCGCTCATCCGAGGCACGGCGAACGATGGCAGGCAGAATTGCTCCGTCATCAGAGCATCAGTGGACATATTACATACATAGCCCGCCGTTGGCGTTGATAAGTGACATCAAGACCCCGCCATCAACAAAGAGCACCGGCAGAACCATCTCGACAGACCAAACAACAAGCAGCCTCGACCAAAATCTCGCGAGAGTCTCACGTGCTGTCGTGTGTTTCGCGTCCGGGACCCGGATGGACAGATGAATGATTGATAATGATAAGACTTTTTCGGGGTCCAAAAACTGACGAAAAGGCCGCATCGGAGTGGATGGCAGGTGGATTTTGGCCTTGTCAGTGTTCCCTTCGCCCCTGATGCAATATCCCAGACTTTCTCCACAAAACGAACGTCCCAGAAGCCGACTAGACCGGGCTCGCTCACTCTGGTTGTCGTGACCACGCGAAGCGCAAACAATTCCATCCCATCACCGAGCCTCTTCAACGGCGCTCCATTATTCTGCCGCGACGATTTGTCCGCAGCACAGCACCGGTTCCAACGCCGTACTCGGTCACACCAGCAGGCAACAAGCACCACCAGCCTTCCCCGGATGACTCTTTTTTAATTTTATATATATATATATTTGATAAACTTGGTGGCATATACTGCGCCAGCCGCGCCAAAGTTTTTTGTAACCAACCCTCTTCCCCCAGTCAACCGTTCGTTTGCCTGGTTGCCACGGACCACAGTTTATTAACAGTTTCCCCCCCACTTTTACACACACAGACCCCCACCTCCGCCATGGCGCTTCTTGCGGTAAGTGGGCCCGGCTAGAGAACGGCGAGAAAATTAGATCTGGCCAATCACGGCACGTATATTGGACTGGATTTCCTCTTTTGGCCGCGGGGCACCAATCATACCCCGCTCAGATTTTCAACGCACCGACCACCGCCGATGTCGTTACGTGAGACCCGACCACCACCCTTACGTCCATCATGAGACATTTCCCACTGCCGTTCCAGATGTTCGACCCTGATTCAGAAAGAGGAGAGACCCCGAGACCCCTAAACTCCAAGTCGGAGTCTCGACCAGTTGATCAATTAATCAATGTGAATATGTCTGTTGCCGATAGACAAGATTGAGCAATCAGAGGCAACAGATGCAAGTCTGACCCAGAGCGTCCCAGCTGTAACCCACCTTCAAGGATACCCACATCAAACACTGTCTCTTGAGACCCGAGAATCAAGTTTGTCTCTCGCTCATCTCTCGAGCCCAATTAGCCCATTCCAAACCCCTACACGAATGATCTCATAAACTGATCACTTTAGCTGAGAGAGAAAAGAGATGGCTGGTAGTAGTGTGCCGCTCACTCACTTACACCTACAAACGGAGAGCATTGCAACCCCAACTTTTTTTTTTTACCCAGCCAGTGACAGCAGCAAACCACACGCGACACTGCACCCCAAATTCTTCTTCTCAGCCCGTCCCGGCTTCGAGGAACCAATCAACCCGACCAAATATTGGGTAGGAATTTACATTACACCGAGCTCGAAACAAATTTGGGGTTTTCTCGGAAACTCACCGCCTTTGGGAACTGGACCTTTTTCCCCTCCCCCTCATCCATCTTTTTTTTTGGGTTTCCCCTCACCATCCATCCCGCTTCCACACATCGATCAAGTTTCACACCACCTTCGCTCACCGCCTTACAAGACGATTGGGCTAGTTGGTGCATGACAACAATCCGGTCTTTTTTTCCTTGTTTAAGCGCTAATGCTAGGGTTAAGTATCTTTAGCTAAATAAGGGTCGGTTAAAGTAGTATGCGCATGTGGGTAGTCGTGGCAGTATGAACTCCAACGGTCTGGATTCATGTGATCGGGGAGAGGACAGCGAGGAAGTAAACAAAACAGGACAAAATATTTGAGTCGCTTGTGGCGGCAGAGATAATATCATGATAGTTTGCAAGCGATGGTTCATTTTGGCAAGTGTTTGAAGAGGGAAAGCCTGAGGCTCATGGTGTGGTCTTGGCTTTGCTGCACCAGCCAACGGCTCACACGGCACTTGACTTATACATTCAAGTAAGGTTGTCTATGCAAGTCTTCACAACTTACACTTCAGAAGTGCCTGTGTGTCAGACTTGTGGTCGAGATAACACCAGACATCCCGCGTAGGGCCACAACCTTGGAACAGCAGTTCTCATGTCTGAGTCTGAAGCCTCGCTCTGGAAGTTATTAGCACGCTTGAAGCACAAAATGCCAGGCAAAAGTCCCCCAAAGGGAAACCCATGATGACAGGAAAACATTTGGGAGATGTGACACCCGAGTACTCATGAGAATTAGGTGACGCCAGCGTCGTTCTCACTTACAGCCATTGAGCTGTCATGTTGAGGTTGTCATGAACTCTGGGTTCCAGGTTTATACGTCTTCTTTTCTGAACTGGGCTGACTGAACAAATCCCGTCTGCCTGCACGTGCCGGGAAAGACTCAAAGTTTCTTCTGGATGGCTTCTACATTAAGTTTGGTTCACGACTCAGATGTGGAAATTTGGGCTTGCAGAGTCTGTAAACTTTGAAACAACAACTTTCTAAACAGATACTTCCTTTATATAAACCTCGACCGTGCCATTCTCTCTCTATCGAATCGTCTCCTGCTCCACATCCAACAAGGGAACCGATATCTGATCAAGCTATTCGACACTACACGCACACACAATAAACAGGGCGCGACTAACACAGCATCCTCCGACATCAATCCATCGCCATGAGTTCAACCCCAACTGCGAACCTTGGTTCACATGAGCGTTACGCTGTGGGAACCAGACTCAAGCTCCACAAACATCGCGCCCCTGAGCCGTTTTGCTCGAATTACAGGGGACCACGCCCCAGGCGCGAAACATGTCGAGGCTCTGGCCGTCCAGACGATGACGAATTTACTCTCAAGGGCCGTGTCAACTTTGTCCTTCACAACCCCCCGTTGGCAACCGAACCCCCCCCAGACTCCTGGTGAGACCGTCATGACCATCACCGGCGACCTGAGCACCCGCGACTTCAAGGATGTCGAGCGTAAAGGAGGCCCCCGTGTAGTCACCTGCTACTCGGATGGCGACCCAACAATCAAGCACATGGCCAAAATATTCGACGCTTTGGATCACCCTTTGATGGGTGATCCAAACTGTGACCTCCGCCCCCGGGAAACCTGCGTCGAGTGTATGGATTGCACAGCGCGCGCAGATCTGGACTACGCGATGGAAGCAGCTGTTTATGAGGGTTTTCTGCGCCTGGGAACGAGAAATTCAGGCACATCGTCCCGACGTACCATGGCAGTTGGACGTTTGCCCTGCCGACGCATCAGGCTGGCAAGCCTCGGTGGGTGAGGATGGTGCTGATGGAGCATTTTGAAGGGGAAGTGATGGATAAAATCATGGGCAAACAAGTCATACCCAAGGACGACGACGACGACGACGACTACAGCGAACCAAACATTAAATACACCCTCGACTACGGCAAACTTCCCCCCGAAGCAGACCGTCTCTCCATCATGAAACAAATCATCGAAACCGAAATCAGGATGATGTGGAACGTCGAAATTAGCATTACACCTTGCAATGCGAGGCTCAAGACGGAGAATATCTTTGTCTGCAACGACGGATCCGTCAAGTTCATCAGTTTTAGAGAGGCAAAGGTGTACCGCTATCTTGACGAGACGGAGGATCACCCAAACCAGATCTATGATGGGCGGTGGGACTCAGGCGTGCCAGCGGCGGAGATGAGGCCGATGAAGTCTCCGATTGAGAGATACTGGTCTAAATGCTTCCTCGAACCTTTCGATCGTTGGCTCCCAGAGGCCTGGGAAAAGAACGAGGAGTTGGCAAACGAGTGGTTGATTGACACGTTCGGCTCGGAGAAGGAGTTAGAAAAGTATGAGCCGATCAAAGACGAGTGGTTCTGGGAGAGAGAGCCTATAAGGGACAAGGCGAAAAGGTGCGCAAGTGGTTGGAAGATCATGATCCGGACGAGAGGCCCTCCAAGAGAGCTCGGCATGTATAATTCAACAGGACTATTACTACTAGTTGGACTTCTTGCAACATCTTTCAAGGCCTTTATATTTTATGTCAAATCTTCCCCCATGTGAACTTCAATCATCCCCCGTATCTTGCCCCTTTTCTTGGTGCGAGTAGGGTGTGTTCCGCATACCTCCACACATGAACCCACCTTCCGAGCAATTTCTCCAACAAATCAAGTAACAGCATCAGTGGTTTAGTGGTAAAATCCATCGTTGCCATCGATGGGCCCCGTGTTCGATTCACGGCTGATGCAACTCAGCTTCTCTTTTGCATTTTTTTCTACCTCTCTCTCATCTACGCTCCTTCAGGGGCATTTATTTCCTCACCTTCTTTTTCTTTTATTTCAACCACACCACAAATCCCACCCTTGGATCCCTCTTGACCACAAAACCTCCCCGTCAAATCTTCTCCCCCTCCAAAATCCCCCTCGCCTCCTCCCCCCTCCACCAACTCTTCCCCTCCTCCCCCGGATACCCAAACCGCTCCATACTCTCCCCCCTCATCTGAACCGAATACCCCGGCTGCGTAGGCGTGACATAATACCCCTTTTCAATGACACTCGGCCAGACAAAATGCTCATGCAAATGATCCACATACTCCAACACGGACTTCTGCCCGCTCACCACCACATAGTCAATCGTCGACAAGTGCTGCGTATACTCCGGCAGCCCGACCCCACCACTATGCGGCACGATCGGAACCCCAAACTTCTTCGCCATCAGCATCACCGCAAGAACCTCATTGACACCACCCAGCCGACAGGCGTCAATCTGGCAAACGTCTATGGCGCCCGACATGAGGAACTGCTTGAACATGACCCTGTTCTGGCACATCTCCCCCGTGGCGACCTTGATGCCGTAGGGTTTCAGCGCAGTTCTTATAGCCAGATGCCCCAGGACATCATCAGGAGAAGTCGGCTCTTCAATAAACCAAGGTTTGAAACCCGCAAGGGATTTCATGTACTCGATCGCCTCGGGCACGCTCCAGATCTGGTTGGCGTCCACCATGAGGATTTTCTCTCCCGGGGTGGGTGATGAGTCGAGGACTTGACGGGCGATGGTCAACCGTTTGATGTCTTCCTGTAGTGACCCGCCTACTTTGAGCTTGAAGTGCCTGTACCCCTGTGCGACTGTTTCCTGGAGCAATCTCCTCATTTTGGATTCGTCGTAACCAAGCCAGCCCGCGGAAGTGGTGTACGCGGGTACAGCTTCGTTTTTTTCCGCCTGGGCGATTCGTTCGGGCTTACCCTCTTGCATTGACTGCAGGAGGGAGAGGGCTTCCTCGGGGGTGATGGCGTCGGTGATGTAGCGGAAGTCGATGCAGGCGACGAATTCTTCTGGGGTCATGTCTGCTACTACCCTCCAGACGGGTTTGTTGAGGGTTTTGGCCCATAGATCCCACAACGCGTTGACTACCGCGCCGAGGGCGAGGTGGATGACTCCTTTTTCTGGGCCTATCCAGCGGAGCTGGGAGTCGTTGACTAGGTGGCGCCAGGTGGCGCCAAAGTTTGTGCCGACGAGGGAGGAGAGGGGGGTGTGGAGGATGCGGGGGGCGAGGTGGGAGATGGCGGCGCAGACGAGGTCGTTTCCGCGGCCGATGGTGAAGGTCTGTGATGGGGGTTAGCAATAAGGGTGGCTTATAAGGGGAAGGGGGGGGGGGGAGCGGACCATGCCATGGCCGGTGAGGTCGGAGTCGGTCTCGAGGATGCAGTAGGCGGCTGAGTAGTCTCCTGCCGCGTTCATGGCGTCGGAGCCGGTTTTGTCTAGGGAGGTGGGGAAGCGGACATCGCGGGTTGAGAAGGAGGTTATGGTTATTTCTTTGGGGGCCATCTTGGGGGTGTGTAGATTGTATCCTATATCTGGCTCTTTGAGTGTGCGGTTTTGAGCTGTGTACGAGGCTGTGAGACGGTGGCTAGGATGTAAGGTCTAAAAGAGCGTATTCTTGAAGAGTTAAAGAAGAAAGCCAAGTAAACATATCCAGGAACTCATCATAATACAGCTCCGATCCAGGAACGCGGGGCAGCTTGGGGATAGCTCGGGTTAGTGAGGGGAACAGTGGGGTGAACTGGGGAAACACCAGTTGAAGGAGCGCCGTTTGATTGACGGATAAATCGTGGGGGGTTGGTACTCTGCTCCATGACATAACCGTTGACTGGGGGTCGGGTCAATTGATTACGAGGTTGTGGTTGTGGATTGCCCCTTTTCAATTCAGGGGTAGTAAGTCCCAAGCGTGATCTCGGTATCCTACCGAATAGCACGTGGATGGACGGCTGCTTCTACCCCAAGTGAGCAAAAGTAGAGTCCGACATATTTACGGAGTTTATTTTGGTCAAAAGGGGCTGCTGCTACTGATGCAACACCAGTAGGCTAAGTTCCGAAGGCGACTCGGGACAAACAGAGTGGAAAACTTGAGCTCCCACAAGGGCAAGGAAAGCAAACTTCTCTGAGATGAACCACAGCTTCTTTTGCTGGTGGTAGAAAAATATTGCGAGGGTGGACGCGTGGACCCTCGGACTTCGTGTATAAGCCGTGTTCAGATCGGAGCGTCCTGGTCAGAGACAATGCTGGTCGAGTTCCGACGATCTTTGGCCAGATGATAATGTAGGCAGTGATATTTCGACGAGAATAAGATTAAATAGTCCCATCATCTCCTTTCTAAGATCCCCGTCACTCACCTCATTACCGCATCAAGATCACACTACTCACTGCACAAACCTACTTCAAGATGTCTTCCAAGACTTTCAACCTCTCCAAGCCAGACCGGACTGTGCAAGTCGGTGTGATCCTTCTCGGCGGGTACGTCCCTTGTAACAGTTCTAGAATCTGACACTGACAAGATGGTATCAGTCTCACCGAATTTCTCGACGTGGCACCTGTCGACCTCTTCAACAGCCTCACGCCCAGGTTTCTTCAAACCTTGTCAAGCGCTTTCCTTCCAGCCCATCTCTTGCAACAAGCCATAGACATGGAATTTCACTGGGTGAGTGAGACAGGCAAAACCCCTTCAGTCAGCAACCTTACCGCGCGCACAACCATCGTGCCGACCGACTCCTTTGCAACCTGTCCTGTCTTGGACATTGTCCTCATCGGAGCCTACCACGCTGGGTATAACCCGACTGAGGCAGAGTTGGCTTATGTCCGCAAGGCGTACGACAACTGCTCTGCCTTTATGACCATCTGCGGCGGCATTGAGGTCCCCTTGAGAGCTGGCATCTTGGAGGGCAAGACTGCCACGGGACCGAGATTTATGTTGGATATTCTGAGACAGCTGGCACCAGGAACGAACTGGATTGAGAAACGCTGGGCGAGCGATGGCAAGTTGTGGACGAGTGGAGCTCTGCTGAACGGGACGGATATGGTGGCGGCCTTTCAGAGGGAGGTTTGGGGTGGGAAGTCGCTTACAGAGGAGGATTCCTTGGTTGAGTTCATGGCCAGGGTGGGAGGCGTTCCCGTGAGAGACGTTGATTACAAGGATGTGGATTGGAAGCTGTGATCTTCTGGACGTTTCGGGCTTGTTTGCTTCAGAACTTCGTGTTAGCTTCCGTGCTTTGCTGTGGAGGTATCACATGACGATAGTTAGGCAATGGGAGAAGGAGCAGCTGAGGGCTGATGTCACGTTCCACTCGCTCAAATAGTCACGACTGATCGGATCACACTCTCTCAAAACCTTTTTCCCTTCCCACATCCAAGGCTGCCGCATGCCCCTTCACCACAATCCAACATTTATCACCATGTTCGTTGAACGAATCCAACATTTATCATCATGTTCGTTGAACGGTGCACTCGGCTATCCCATCTTCGCGTCATATCGTGGAAGCCATGACAGTCGTCCACGTACAACGGTACGTCGTCCGAACGAAAAATTTCATCACACTTCAAACCTGGCATGTCCCTTTTTACGCTCTCACCAGTAAGCGGTTGATCGATTCCAGACACCGATCTCGAGCAGGATTGGCCACTCCTCATCTATTCAGAACTGACAGGTTCCACCTGAACTACCAGGACACGTACTTCGTCTTGCCGTACACACGTCCACCCCATCTACCGAGCCACAGAGATTGCCATATACCGTGCTCTGTTTTACGCTGCTCAACAGTAACCCCCACAGTTCGGGAAGCCTCAATATCTTCACGTCGTTTGTTCAGCTCTGGCAATCCCGTTGTCCTGTTCGAAAGTACGCAAGTTGCACACTCCCCATAACCCAAGACTCCATGGGTTAGCCGTCGACGCTGGCCATGTCAGGTCGGTATTCAAGTATGCCTCCAAAGTCCCCAAAGTGATAGATTGTCCTCCCGTTCTCGGTTGGATATCTTTCGAGACCTCAGACCAAAATGTTCGCCGTGCCGATAGAGGAATTCAGAAAGATAAGGGAAAATAGGCGTAAGCTGGCAACATCGACCAAGTCATCAACACCACCACCACCACCGAGTCTCGACAATGTCTCGACGGATATAGAGCTTCAGCTTCCCGCTCCTGCGATTATAGATGATGCCCAGGGGCCCGACGCTCACAAGCCATTGATCAACCCCCGTCTTATATCCGACGCTACAATCGGTCTCTCAGACGGCCTCACTGTCCCCTTTGCTCTCACAGCAGGACTTACCGCGCTAGGAGACACCCGCACAGTCATCTATGGTGGTCTGGCAGAACTGATAGCAGGCGCCATCTCAATGGGACTAGGAGGTTATCTTGGAGCAAGGGGAGAATTGGCAGCATACGAAGAGTCACACTCTAGGCTGATGACGCTCCTGCAAGAACCTGGGCCGCCTACCAAGTCCGCCATCACCGCCGGCCAAGACGCTGTCATTGAGGCGTTGCAGCAAGCCTTGTTTCCTCTGCAGGTACACAGACTGGACCTGAAACACCAGCTTATCGAGGGCGAGAGTGAAGAATGGGTGGGGTTACTGTTGAGGTTACAAGGCATTTCCCTTCCTTCAACATGTACCGACGACGACTGTACGAAAAGCCATGACCAAAAGGCCGAGGAGAAACGGAGGAGAAGGAGACAGAGAGATGACAGCAGGACGAGAGCAATGCAATCGGCCGTCACAATAGCGGCCGGGTATTTCCTCGGTGGGCTCCTACCGCTTATACCGTACTTTTTCGTGGCAGGACATATCGGAAAGTTGATGACGGGGCTGTACATCTCGATCGGAGTCATGGGGGTAGCGTTGTTCACGTTTGGCTATGTCAAGACGGCTGTGGTGGTTGGGTTTGGAAGGCAGCACGCAAAGAAGAGTGTGCTAGGGGGTGTGCAGATGGTGATTGTAGGGGGGATGGCGGCCGGGGCTGCTATGGGTTTAGTTAAAGTGTTTGAAGGGGTTGGGACGTTTGGGTCATGATGTACGAGAGAGAAAAAAATCGGAAGAGCTCATATAGACAGTCAGTACAGAGATATAAAGTGGGTTTTAAAAAGGGGGTATTCTTGCTATCAAGGCGTTTGTGTGAATTTCATTTACACCTGCATATCCTACACATGTGTGACCTCTCTCCAGGGTTGTGATATGGTGACGAGGGAAAGCTTAGGCACCACCCTCCCGCTTGGCGTACTCCTCCTCCATGGCCTCTTCGTATTTCCTGTCTGCTTCCTTTTCGGCTTCGGTCTTGGGGCGGGTGACACCGGCGCCAGTGTTGACGCCAGCGCCGGTGGGGACGTTGGAGGCTTGCTGGGGGTTGATGTTGGAGGAGGAAGAGGGGTTGTTGGAGGGGGCCGAGGAGGTGGAGGAGGTGATTTTGTCAGACATGATGTTTCTTTATTTGGTTGTTTGTAATGTTTTGAGAAAAGAGGTAGCAGATAGTTTGTGTATTGTGTGATGGATGGATGATGTGTTGTGAAAGCCGTAGTGAGTTGTGAAGTCTTCTTATAGCTCTTTGTGAGGGAGAGCTGGTGGCAAAAGGTGGCGTACAGCGTGCGTAATTGCCCAACTGAGCATTGGGATGGAGCGCTGAAGATGACTCCGAGAGGGGTGGGTTATAGCGGGTGATCCCGCATTTTCAGGGACCAAAACCAGAACTCCACAGCAGGTTGTTGGGTAGAACTGTTTGTCAGGTCAAGTTCCTCACTTGGGTAGAGGCTATATCCAAGAACACTCGAGTGTCGTCTCTTTTTTCGCGGAGATGGGAATTAGGAAGGTGGGTGGTGGGCTTGGTTTTGTTCGTCGAGTCTCAACCTCACCTTCAACCCCCTTCAAAGAAGATTCAAAAGACTACCTACACCACTTACTTGAATATACAGCATCTCATCACAGCCATCATGTCCTCACATCATCAGTCACACCACCCGACACTCCAGCACAGCACAAGACTATTTATTCTCACTCGCTTTTCCCTCTCCTGACAGAATTCTACAAGCACAACCCCTCAAAACCTCAACGCAAAAACCCCGCTTATATGAGCGCTCAACCCTAAAGCCTAATACTACACAGCCACAACAAACTCCCCGCCCTTAAACATTTCTTCCCAACCCAAACGCCCCAATCCATGATTCACGTATACCTCGTCTAAGACACACCCCAAAATGACCATAAACGCGCGCATCCGTGAAGAAAAATAAATATTACGCCATGTCATTATGCAAGTAACAACTCCCTCCGGTACCCGCCTGGGTGTTTCTTGGAAAATCTCCCTCCCAGCCGTGCAATGCAACTCTGCCTTGGCCGTGCAGAAGCACGAGGTTCCTCCTTCGTCAAGGTTTGAGAAGCCGGAGTTGTGTACTACATTACAACGTTCTACGCCACAACGGGGCGGAGGATAGCCTCGAAGCGGGCGGCAACCTAGAAAACCCATGTTAGAAGAGATTCAAGAGTGGAGGAAAAAGGATGACGTACCTCAGGAGCCGCCTTGATAAACGGCAGCTCAAAGAAATGAAACTTTTCATTCTTGAGCAACTCGAGGATCGTGACCACGAGACCCCATGGCTGGGGCCAGTACCCAACCATGCGCTCCAAGAGAACTCGCACAATCTGCTGCCGAATCTCTGTCTCCTCCGGGTCGTCAAGATCGTGACCAAAAATTTCGACGATGGCATGGCTGAAATAGTTTGTCGACGCGTTGGCGAACCGGAGTTCGTTGACCATGCTGCTGAGAAGATAGTACCGTGTCTCGGCCGGCACCTCGGTGACCAGCATGTGCAGAGTCTTGACGTCGGGAGCCCCGGACACGAACACGGGCGCGTCACTGTTGTTAACAGCGCGTTGGGAGGCCGCGTTGGCGATGTGGGAAACCACGGCGTCGACAACTCGGCGGTCGACATTGACAGGCACAAAGCCAAACGTGGTCAGGTCGGTATCGGCGTGGTGCATCGCGTGCGTAATTTGGGCGATGGCGTCCTCCGAGGGTCCGTTTTGCAATGACTGCTCCAGGATGTCATAGAGCCCTAGTTCCTTGAGCTGGCCGGCGCAGTCATAAAAGCTCACCACCGGGTCCTTCATCTCGGGGATCCGATCAATCTTGAGTCCCGGCCGAAATGGATCGGGCACCTTGTCGAACGGCGTCGTGGACGCCGACAAGATCATGTTGATGAGCTGTGTGGCATGCGAGGGCAGGCACTGGCATAGCTGCACATAGTTGGCAGAAAGATACTCCGGGAAGTCGTGGAAAAGCACAGCCACAAGCTTCACCGTGCCCGAGTACAGGTCCTTAGCGGCAAGGGACACTTCGAAAGCTTTCAGCATGTTGCCGAGATAAGAGAAGAGATGGGTGAGGAGCTTGGTGAAGGGCTCCCAGCCTGCCTGGTTGGGCATGCGCATGATCGCTGGGAGAAAGGCGCGGTGAGCCAAGAGACCCATCCATTGAAACAAGAAGCCAGGGTACACAGCCGGCCGAAGGTCCCATAGACGTGCCGCAAAGTTGAGCACTATCTTTTCGCTCTCACTGTCTGAGAATCTCTCCGTCAGGTTCATAATCTGGTGGAAGAGATTGGAGAAGAAGCGGAAGAACACGCGTGGGTTGAAAGCGTCCCCGCGTCTAACGTGGTGGTTGTTCAACACAAGCACACCAAGAGCAAGGACAGAGTCCAGGAAGGCGACACGCGATGATTCGCTGGTGCCAGGAGCGTCGTGGGACTGAGTGAAGATGAGGATCATCTTGACGAGAGCGTCAACTGCCTGGAAGCTCTCGTTGCTGAAGCCTTCACCAAGGTGGCCACTTTGCTCAGCACGGTCGACGGATTTGTCGATTGCTTGCCTCGCAAAGACGAAAAAGTCCTCCTTGGTGACAATGTGCCGCCGCCAGTTCAACTGTTGCACAAACTTTGTGGCAGCCTTTTCCGAGGCGCAGTCGTTGTTGCATAGCTGCACCCATTCCTCAAAGATGTAGTCAAACTGCTCGAACTGAGCCTCGGGGGTTCGGTCAGGATGAATCTCGGGCGAAGGCCCCAGCACCTTGGCCTTGAACCGCTGGCCACCTGGCACTTCGGGCTCTTCAGTTATCCACGCCCAGGCTTCCTCCAAGCTCTGAACGAAATCGGTATAGAGATTGACAGGGGCCTCGCTGAACAGCGTAAGATCCATCAAGGACTCCAGAAACTCAATGGAACCGCTGCTCCGTTCATTCAACGCCTTGGCCATGGCTGCATCGATGCTGTGCCAATCAATGAGGTCCGTTCTGAGCAGCGCCGAGATCAGGGGCAGATTCAAAAAAGTACTACCTGACTGCTGGTAAAACAGCCAGCGGATCTGTTGACTCGTCGCCGGGCCCGCAACCTTTCGCAGCGTCTCCAGCACGTGGACCAGCGTCTCCAAGAGGAGGGAAGTGGGTTCGGGCTGCGGGCGGAAGAGAAGACCGGAGATTTGGGTCGCCACATAGACTGCAAATTCATCAGATGTCTGTTGAGTCTTGATTGTAAGCTGGACGACGGCGTCATGAATGTTGATAACTTCATGGGTCCGAGGGAGGTCCTCAAAGTGCTCCTCGGCCGTGTTGCTGACGGCAGTCGCCAGCTTTTCCAACAAGCTGTTCACCCGTTCCGCCACGTTCCGAGCGTCGACAGGGCTGATGCCAGGTTGTCGGCCATTGACCATGCCAGCATGAACCGGAGGGTAATGCTGAGGTTGGACGCCCATGTGGGGAAGCGATGGGGTTTCAGCAGGGGTAGGAATGGTGGACACCGAGTTGTACTGGTCACCGAGGACTTCGTTTGCAATTGATCTCGCATCCGACGATGAAGGAACGTGCGAAGGCGTAACAGAGGCGGCGGCGGCGGCAGCGGCGGCAGCAGCCGCAGCAGCAGTCACCCTTGATTGCCGAGCAAAATCATCGTAGATGGCCATTTGCTCATCATTGAGGCCGCTCAAGCTGGGCTGCAGCTTGAAAGGAGCGGGGATAGTCCAGGCCCAGCGGTTCAGGCGGGGATCCATGAATGGGTCGTTGGGTCGGTTGATGCGGTGATGGCGGCGCGCCTCGAGATCTTCTGCGAGTAAGTCCTCAATCTCGGGGACACCGCGCTCCTCAGCCGACTTTTCGATGATGCTGGAAGCCAGCTCCATGTTGGAGTTGACACACAACATGATGATACCTTCTGGGAGACCCTGAGGAAGCTCCGAGGCGAGCTGGCGGAGATAGTTGGTGAAGTTGGCGCGCAATGGCTCCTTGGAGGTCACAAGTGCCAAGCTCCCAGCAGTAGACTTGACCATGTTGACGGCAGCCATCCGAACCCTGTCCGGGTCGCCCTCGGTTGCGAAGTCCTTGCGGATCATTTGCTGCGTAGAGATGGCGGCGATGGTCACAGACCTATCCACAACAGGCTGGATGATCTCTTGCAGCGCGCGCGTGAGAGCTTGACGGACAATGTCGTGCAGCTTCGCGGCGCTGACAACCTCGGTGGACGGGACGCTCAGGTTGGGCCCCAAGTCGGGGATGGCAAGAGCCGGGTGCGAGACAAGTGAGCTGTTCACTCCCGTCATGCCGTTGAGGGATAGGCTCTCAAAACTGTCGAGATTATCTGGCCCAACCAAGTCACCCACGTCCTCGAGAGGAGGCCGGTTCAAGATCTCACCAGATGGCTCGATCGCCTCATGATCGAGATCGAGGCACTTGCAGAGCACCTCGATCTCAAACTTGAGATTGAGCTTGAGCTCGGCGTTGTGATAGAGTTCAATGAGGAGGTGGATAATGTCCATGAGCCAGGGGTTCGGCGGTTTGAACACGTTCGAGTTGGCTGCCTGGGTCAAGACCTTGCAGACAAAGGGGATGACGACAATGAGACGCTTGGTATCGAGGGCTTCGATCAGGAGTTGCCTGAAGGCGATGTTGCTGTGCTTGATAGGCTTGTCACGAGCAAGGGTCAACAGGCCAAGCCAGCCACCCAGATTCTTGAGGTGAGTCCTCTCGGTCGAATTCGACT